TACACACATATATATACAGTATATATACACATACATATATATATGTAAAAGCCTTTAGGCTTTTACACTGCTCTAAGATTTGAGTTTGATTGTCAATAAGCCTGTCAGGCTTTATTCTGTCATGGTAACATACAGAACCTAAAAATAACCCCTCAAAACCAGAACATAACACAACATTAAACATCAACTTAAGCTTAATCTTGTGAAAACATATTTAAAAACCATAATCTTGTGCAAAAATAACACCTTACTACAATCACATTTTCAGTTCAGATAATTGTTTTTCTTCAAGATAGATACAATAAAGTTTGAGCAAAGTCAACTCATTTCATGCAATGGGATACGCTGTATGCACAGGTACTTTTAATTTTGAATAACCATTAAAGACAAGCGCACTTCCACATTGACCAATAAGGTCAATAAACTATAGGTTTAAGAGCTTCTCTGTTTATAATCAATGATTTTCACTGCCTGATTGAGATACACTATAATGTGGGTCTCTCAAACTGGACAAGCACTGCATTAAATTCCATGGTTCCACACCACGTCACTAATATATGTATTTATTTTACCACAGTATTTCCAACGGATCTTCTTCCACATTGAAGAATAAGGTCTATAAACTATCTAGGTTTAAGACCTGATTTGTTTATAATCAAGGATCTTCACTGCCTGATTGAGATACACTATAATGTGGGTCTCTCAATCTGGGCAAGAAGCACTGCATTAAATTACATTGTTCCACACCATATCACTAAAATATGAACATTTATTTTACCACAGTACAGTATTTTCAGTGGATTTTCTACACTCGCCTACTGCTTCTCAGCGCAACAAAAAGCAGCTTAAAAAAATTACAAAATAGTCACATCCACCAGGGGCCTCATGTACGAAGACTTGCGTGGAAATCATACTAAAACATTGCGTAGGCACAAAGCTGTAAATGTGCGTACGCAGAAAAAAATTCAGATGTATGAAATTCGTGCCGAATCTCACGCATATTCTTTTGTACATCCGAATGAACGTGAATCTGGGCGCAACATGCACGAGCACAAAACCCCTCCCTGCCTCCTCCCCCGTATGAATATGCTAATGACTCTACTTTGGCAAACTCCAACAAAAAAGCAATGGCAAAATCAAGCAAAAAGAGAAACTTTGAACAGAATGTTAATCGGAGGTGCTGCTTTCGGAGGTAGACCGGAGAAAAACTGTGTTATTTGCAAGTTTGTTCTCTGGAATTAACAACAAAAGAAAAAAATAGAGAGTTTAGCTGATGCGGTTAACACAGTTGGGTCTGAACATCGCACTGAGTGAATTAAAAAAGAAATAGTGTGATTTATATGTGTAAAATGTTGCAGCAATCTTAACAGTTTCAGTGGCGCAGCTCGTAAGACGCATGTTAACATGTTTTGACACGTTCAAGCATGAACTCGGTTCGAATCCAGCGTCTAATGAACTCTTTCCTCTTTTTTTCCCCCGCTACATATCAGATTTTGCCTACTATTTATCACGAGAAAGACAAGAAGGAATCATTAATAAGTTTGTGCATCATATTTTATTTGCACATTTATTGAATGGAAATGTTTCTGATTCACGCATGCAAATTCATTTTCAGATAGTGTCTTTATAGCAATGTGTGTGCAGTAGATATCTCAGATTACATTGGGAAAACAGGCGACCGCTGCAAATTGTGCTTTAATGTTTAGCTAGTCAACTGTATGGTATGGAAACCCTATATACCTGCTAGATGAACCCGTCTCATACAGCTGCAAGGCTCAGACACTTTGTAGAGAGGAATTTAACACAACTGCCTCTAGGAGTCACCAATGGAAATAAAACAGACACGCACAAAAAATGGGCGTACGCCAGCCATAAAGCTGGCGTGGAGCTGCGCACATTCCCACATTCATTTCATCGTTAGTAAATCCAAACGTGAGCGATTATGAGCGTGAAACCTGGCGTACGCAAAGTTTGTGCGTACGCAGCGTTGATACATGAGGCCCCAGGAGTTTATTGGTGGCTAAAAAGTATGTGCATATTGCCCATTTATTTACTTTTTGGTTTGTAGTGTTACTGTTTTCCTGTTAATGCTGTTCTGTCTTTATGTATTAAAATATGTCTGAAGCAATCCAAAATGTAATGACCTTTTGAAAGAAATTGTAGATTAATCACATGCCCATAATTATTAGATGTCAACAGCTTAAATCACAAAATTGCTACCAATCAAATCTCTAACTGATGGTCTGTTTGTTTTCAGGAGTTACTCCCGCTGGTGCTGATGTTTGAGCTGCCAGTCATAGTGCAGCTGAACCCCGATCCGAGCTCTCCTGCCATCCAGCACATCTCGCAGACATACAACATATCTGTGGCCTTCAAACAGAGGTCCAGACTCTATGGAGCGACAGGAGTCGTGCGGGGCTCACAGAATAATGCTGCAGCTGTGAAGGTGAGACGCTCATGTATATTTCAGGAGATTCAGTAGCATGCTTTTTTTTTCATTGGTGTATGAGAGTTTCTTTGCAGGAAAAGGGTTTCTAAAACCAAATTACTCTATTAAAGGAGGTCTGTTGTCAATAATGTATTGATGTATGAAACTGACTCGCACAAAGTCACACTTGATCCTGTTGAAAAATCTACAGGAAGATGAGCCCGTCCAATATTTGCCCTAATATTGATTTTTTTACCCTTGTGTATTGTTCAAATGGTGCCTTTGCTATCAAAAAATTGATTATAGTGGAAGTCAATGAGGCAAAAACAACCACAAACATAAAGAAAGAGTGGTAAATTTGCCTATTTTTGAGTTTTTAAAAAAATCCAAAGCATTTTCACAAAATATGTGTCAAAATAAGACTTGTCACCAAACATCACTTCATTTGCTGAGAAACAGAGAAGTAAAGCCTAAAGTAAGCCTCAGAATCAGCACAGAGTGGATCAAAACATCCGTGAAAGCACATATGGGTTAATAATTGCCTTTTTAATTGTGTCTGTCAAATTGTTTTATGCAAAATACTTAAAAATGTAATATTCTAGATGCACAGTCAAAACATCTTAATTTAGTTTAGTTGTATTTTTGTGATTTGAATATTGTCTATTTTTGTTAATTTTGATGCCATTATTGCCATAAGCCATCATTCATTTCTCACTTTAATCTAAGCTATGTTAAAGTTTACTTGAAGGAAATCATGTCTAAAACTAAAAAGAATTTATATGTTTCTTATCAGGCAGCACGGTGGCATAGTGGTTAGCACTGTTGCCTCACAGCAAAAAGGTTGCTAGTTTGAGTCCTAGCTGGACCAGTTGGCATTTCTGTGTATAACTTGCATGTTCTCTTCATGTTGGCGTTGGCTTTCCTCCGGGTGCTCCGGTTTCCCTCACAGTCCAAAGACATGCGCTGTAGGTGAATTGAATAAACTAAATTAGCTATATTGTACATGTGTCAATTTGAGACTGTATGGGTGTTTCCCAGTAGTGGGTGCAGCTGGAAGGGCATTCCCTGCATAAAACATATGCTGGAATAGTTAGTTCATTCCGCTAAAGCCTGGTTTATACTTCAGCGTCAAGTGATAAGCGTGACCCGCGGCGTTTGTCTTGCGCGTTGCTGTGCTTTTATACTTCTGCGCGCTGTTTGTGTTGCTCTGCAATAACACTTCAGAAACTCTAGCTGACAGTAGGTTTTATGTGTGTCGAGTTTCTTCGCTGGTGTTTTGTTTTTTCTAAGCACAACCTTACATGTACAAGTGACTCAAACTTGCTCATTTTGATGCTGGAATTTGGCAGACGTGCAACAACTTTATAATCATGAGGTAAACACAAAACAACAGTCCCCATCGGGAGCACCTTCACAGGACTCCACACTTGTAAACACTCATCGGGCTCGCAAGGTTCTTACCTCCTCCCACACTCGTCAGCTCTACCAAGCCGACCAATCACAGAGCTTGCGCTATGCGTCGTTGCGACGTGTAGTTACATTTTTTTTTGAGAGGTGACACAGCAAGCGGCCACAGCAAGGGCTATGCATTCACATGTAGGCAGTGCCGTATAATACATGTGCACACGTATTAATCAGCTAAAGGCGACCCCTGATAAATAAAGGCACCAAGCTGAGGAAAATTTATGAATTAATGAGATTTTGTTCATTTTGTTGCCATTTTTGTCACAAGCCACCATTAATTCCTCAGTTTAATCCATGCTATGTGTACGTTTATTTAAAGGAAATGATGTCTAAAACTACAAATAATTGAGGCGTTTGTTATCAAACAGTAAGAATATTGAGTGCGGGACACGTTTAAGATCTCAACAGGGAATACAGATAGTATTTCTCTCAGATAAAAGATATGAGAAACTTATTGATGTCTTGAAGTAAAACTTGAAATGGTACAGAGCTCCCTTCTGTGATTTTCCTCTCCTGTGGTGTAATATGGTTGCAGAGCATTCTGATTTCTGAAAAAGAAGCCATCTTATTAGCTTCTGAGCGATCACAGTAAATCCTCCAGCTCACACCTACACAACCTTTCATCTCTCGGTGTCTGTGGTGTTCGCTTGAATACTTCAAGTTATGTGAATATCTGCCGGCAGTGCTTTAGAAACAGAGTCTAGTATGGGAACAGCCAGTTATTTTTTTCCAAGTAGAATCTTCTTCTTTTGGTCTTGAGGAAAGGCTCTTGAGCTGGAGTTGTCCTGTGGGCTGTTGGCTATGCCTGGTATTTGTTGAGAACTGGGGTAAGCAGTCCCATGCCAAAACCACCTACGAATACAGCCAGAAAGGAACCCCAAAAGAGCCTCTTCTCTTCCCCTAGTTTAATGGCGCGCTGAAAGAAACTCCCCAATCTAGGCCATTCTCAGGGTCACATGCCAGATGGAAAAGCGGGAACATAAAGAGGTTCTTGTTTATTAAAACAAGCCCCATTAGTGTCAAAAGCACCAGTCCTGTTGGCGGGTCGTAACCAAGCTGGTTTTGGTTGACGTTGAGTTTGTCAAAGCAGTCAGTGAGGAATTTGCGGTCACGTTCAGGTTTTGAATGTATTGTGTTAGCAAGTGATATTTGACCTCTGGAATTGATTTCCGGGGGCCTTTTTTATTATTATGTTATTAAATATATATATTTGTCAAAAATGTGCCCTCTTTAGCAACAAGCCAACAGATTGCACTTTTTTTTCAAGTGTTTTCTGAAATGAATTGGTATTTAACATCAAACATCTTTCAGCATTTCTAGAGTTTTTCCATAGCATGTTCTATCTTTCTTTTTCTCCCCAGTTGAATCTCATAGTGCCTGTACTATTGCCTATACATATTCTATATAATATTCAGGTATGGAGCCTGTAGAGGCCATTTCATTTCATGTCTTTGTTTTATCAGCTCAGGGTTACATATGCCAGATGGAAAGGCTGAAACATAAAGAGGTCCTTGTTTACTAAAATACGTTCCATTAGTGTCAAAAGCACAAGTCCGGGTCGTAACCGAGCTTGTTTTACTTGACGTACGTTTGACAAAGCATTCAATGAGGAATTTGCAGTCTTGTTCAGGTTCTGAAATGAACTTTTCTGTTAGGTGGTGATATTTGCCCAATGTATTAGATTTGAGCCCATTTTTTAAATTATAATTATGTTATTAAATATATACATGTCAGAGTTCAATTTTACAGTGGCAGAGAGAGATCTACTTACAAACGTAAAACGTGCTACAAGTTATTTGCAAATAGAAAAGCACTAACATTTTGACAAAACATCTTCATTAGTTTGACCTCATTGATATTTTTGTTTATTTTAAGGTCCTGGTCATATGGAACAGATGATTAGTGCTATAAATATGCAGTACTGTGCAGAAGTCTTAGCTTTAGGAGGCTTTTGCACAAATCTATCTACCTAAAAGGTATGGAGCAACTGCATGGTCATTACTTTTGGGTGAACTATACCTTTGATATACAAACAGAAAATCTGAGAAATATGTACACAATATCCAGGACAAAATTACTTTTGGAATCAAAAGACTGGCACTAAAAAAAAAAAGTGTGTTTAACATGACCTCTTAAGCATCAAGCAACAGCTTGAACTTTTTTGTTGAGTCTTTTCTGAATTCATGTGCTATTTAATTTTAAGCATCTTTCAGCATTTCAAGAGTTCTTCCTTAGCATGTTCTATCTTTCTTTCTCTCCCCAGTTGAATTTCATAGTGCCTGTAATATTGCCTATACATATTCTATATAATATTCAGGTATGGACCCTGTGGAGGCCATTTCGTGACTGCCTTTTTTCATCAGCTCAGGGTCACATACTGTATGCCAGATGGAAAAGCTGGAACATAAAGAGGTTCGTGTTGATTAAAACACGATCCATTAGTATCAAAAGCACAAGTCTGGGTCGTAACCGAGCTGGTTTTAGTTGACGTGAGTTTGACAAAGCAGTCAGTGAGGAATTTGCAGTCATGTCAGGTTCTGAAGTTACTTTTTCTGTTAGGTGGTGATATTTGCCGTCTATAATTGATTTCCAGGCCCATTTTTAAAATTATAATCATGTTATTAAATATATACATGTCAGAGTGCCATTCTACAGTGGCAGAAAGAGATCTACGTACAAACGTGAAACGTACTACACTCAGAAATAAAGGTACAAAATTTGTCACTGGGGTGGTACCTTTTCAAAAGGTACACATTAGTACTATACAGGTGGACATTAGTACCATAAGGGTTTAGCTTTGTACCTTTCAAGGTTCAATTTTGTACCCTTAATGTACTTTAAGGTATACATTTGTACTTTTTGGCTATTAACATGTACCTTTAATGACCTGTTCTGAACAAAAATGTATCTTTTAAAAAGGTATCGCCACAGTGACAGATTTTGTTCCTTTATTTTTAAGAGTGTACAAGTTATATGCAAATAGAAAAACACTAACATATTGACAAAACATCTTCATTAGTTTGTCTTCATTGGGTTTTTGTTTATTTTAAGGTCCTGGTGATATGGAACAGATGATTAGGCCTATAAATATACAGCAATGTGCAGAAGTCTTTGCGGAGGCTAAGACTTAGGCACAAATCAATCTAATTAAAAGGTATGGAGCAAATGCAGGGTTGTTACTTTTGGGTGAACTATAGTACACGATATTCAGAACAAAATTACTTTTGGAATCAAAAGACTGGCATCAAAAGTGTGTTTAACACAACCTTTTCAGCACCAAGCAACAGCTTGAACTTTTTTTGTTGAGTCTTTTCTGAATTCATGTGCTATTTCGTTTCAAGCATCTTTCAGCATCTCTTATAGTTCTTCCTTAGCATGTTCTTTCTTTCTTTTTCTCTCCAGCTGAATATCATACCGCCTATAATATTGCCTATACATACTGTATTAGGGTTGCACGATACTGGACTTCGGTACTAATCGATACTAACATTTTAAAAACATCCATTTCCCACTAACATTTGAGCACCGTTGAGCGTGTTCTTAAACAGCGCTGATTTGCCGATGTGTTGACGTGCTCAACAGAAATGACTGTGATTGGCCATGAAGGTCATCAGTTCACCAAACTCACCGCTGTTTTCTGACATGTACAGGAACACTGGAGTGTTTTAAAGCTGCGATTCTTCAGCGGATCGCTCATATGTCAGCTTACAGACAGACCAGCTGATCATTGGTAATGAATTCCAGTATCATGACAACCGTATACTGTATTTAATATTCAGGTCAGGACTCTGTGCAGGACATTTCATCATTTTCTTTATTAAAATACAACCAGAAAATACAGGTTGTTGTTGCATTTTTTGGTGTCTAATTGTTTTATGTCCTAATTGGTGGACTAAGACTTTTGCACAGTACTGTACAAAGGGACAAGGAAGAAACTATTAGAAGCTAAACAGGAGTCAGCTGGGTTTTAGCTTTTACCCCCTCAAAAACACCCATCCGAGTCAAATTACTAAAGGGTTTTCATGCAACCGTGCCCAGAGCGGGTAGTAAAACTGAAGGGGTTAAATTGGTGCCATGACCCAGATGGAAACTGAGGTTTATGGTGCACTCAAAGTCAGCTAGTGAGAGCTGTGTTGGTAAACTTAATATCTCTGACCTAAAAATGACACTGTAGCATTCTTGTTGATCTGCCCACCTCACATGCCAGAAACAAGACATAGGCTACATGGTGAATCTCATTCTCTCACCATATCTGCTCTTATTTTGTTTATGATAATACAAAGCTGATTTTTTTCTCTACCAATAACTAAATTAAACATCTCTGACCCCTACACTGCCCATTACATTTACACTCTTAACTGAAATAAGTGATTGTTATACTGCACAACAATGTCAATGATTTTTCAAATACAAATGACAGTTCATTTTACTGTCATTGTACAGTTGTACGAATGCAAAGTCGCAATAGCAGAATACACAAAATACACCTCAACTTGACAGGCAGCATGAAAAAAATAAGCATATTGCACGATGCCAGGGTGATTTGCATTAAAGGTCTCGTGAAGTGCTTTGAACTGTGGGTTTCTAATTGATGTTGGATATCATCTCAACTGATATATGAAAAGAGGGTGGAACAAAGTGTAGCCCCTCCCATTTAAAAAAAAAACAGCCAATAGCATTTTGTTTTATCACTGCTCTACCAGTGAAAGTGGTTGAGCTCAAGCGCATCAAATGACAAGCATCTTGAAGGAGGTGGGGCATGTATTATATGCAGATATTAAGAGCAATTAATTGGTCAGAAGATTTGATGAGAAACTGAAGTTTGAGGTGACGTAAATAAAACCAATGATCATTTTAGGCTGAAGTGACAAACTACAAGCTTCACGTGTTTATATTGATTTTATATCTTCTAAATGCAAAGTCTGTCACTGTTTTGGTGCACACTCGCTTATAAATATCCTTAAAACTATTAAACTTAAATACTAACATCTAAAAAAAAAGGGGCCTTCAACAGTACAGCATATTTGTAAAAAGCTGACCTAGCGACAGGACTAAAGTCTTTTAAAGTATATAAAAATGGAGGATATTTTTTGGGACCCTTATCTTGAATTTGGGGCATTTTTGTTCATTTTGTTTGCATTGTTTCCTCAAACATAGTTCATTTTCAAACTTTTTTTTTTTTTTTTTTTTTGCAGAGGGGGACAGCCGTGTTACTGGAGCACCTCGCGGGCAACCTGGCCAGTGCCATAACAATCAGCACACAGCTAGACATCGCGCCTCAACACCACCTCTTCATGATGGGTCGCAATGGCAGCAACATCAAGCACATTATGCAGCGCACAGGAGCCCAGGTCCATTTCCCGGACCCTAATTGCCCACAGAAGAAATCCACCGTATATGTGCAGGGAACCATTGACTCGGTGTGTCTAGCACGGCAGTACTTGATGGTGAGAGTTTTATTCTTTATTTCAGTAAAGTCACTAATTTGGGCAACCAACATACAAGATGCTTCAAAAAATGCATGCAGTGATATGATGCTCTTTTTATTAGTGCTGATCTACATTAAAAAATACTATCAAGATCAAAATAAATATACAAATAATCCATATCCGGCAATTTGACTACAGATGCAATAAAATCTTGCCAGCTTAAAATAAAATATGATACACTTTCCATTTCAGATGGTCAAATCAATTACTTTGAATTTCAATTTCAGTTCCGTCTATTTTAGCACACAATATTAATGTAAATGAACAGTTTCAAAGTAAGAAAAGACATAAATTGCTTGTTATGTCACATAACTTCACCTTTCATTAGCTTGTACCTACATTACTATATGTATTATTTAATATTTGTTTGAATACATCCTCATGAAGACAGGTTTTTATTACTGCAATTAAATTGTTAATATTTCAAATGTACAAATATTTAATTTCATTTAATTGCTTTTTATTTTTTTAAATATTTATTATTGTTTATTTTATTGTACTTTATTTAATTTTGTGATTTTTTTATTTTAGTTTTAATAATAATAATAATAATAATAATAATGTTATCCTTATTATTATTAGTTATTTAATTTTATTATTTAATTTTATTTTTATTTAATTGTATTATTATTTAATTTAATTTAATTTTTTAATTGATGAATTTCATTTTATTGTTTTATAATAATAATAATAATAATAATAATAATAATAATAATAATACTATTACTACTACTACTACTACTACTACTAATAATAATAATAATTATTATTATTATTATTATTATTATTATAAGTTAAGTATTATTATTTTAAATTTTATTTATTTATTGTTTTATTTAATTTTATTATTATTTAAATTTATTTTAATGTTTTATTTTATTATTACTATTATTAGCTTTATTATTATTTAGTTCATTTTATTTAATTTTATTGTTTTATATTATTATTAATATTATTATTAATTCATTTTATTTATTTATTATTATTATTATTATTAAACTATAATATTATTTAATTTTATTGTTTTATTATTGTTTAATTTTATTTTATTATTATTGTTTTTTCATTTAATTATATTTTTTATATTATTTTATTATTATTATTATTATTATTATTATTATTATTATTGTTATTATTGTTATTATTATTATTGTTGTTGTTATTGTGTATTATTATTATTAATAATATTATATTATTTAATTTAATTCTTGAACATTTGTTCCTCAATGACCCCAACATTTCTAAAAAAAAAAAAAATCCTACAAATGCATTCGAAAAATAAAATGCATGGATTTATCTACTTAGCAACAAGCTTTGATTTCAGTGCTGCACATTTTGCACAGCATTTTTTGTTTTCTGAGAATATGTGCAGATTTTGTCCTCTCATTTTATCTCATCTTCCCTCGAGCCACCTCAGAAATAGTGACTGTGGTTCATCTCATTACATGGTGATCTTCTTCAAATTAATGGTCTCCAGCCAAGCCTGAAGAAGCTAAAAACTGACAAAGGCGGTGGCGGCAGAAGCAGAAAAACACAATCCTTCTGAGGAACACACAAGTGGCGAACATTCTTGCTCTGAAAGCAAAATAATTAGTCCTCCAGCACTCTGCGGTGCTCTCCGGAGACAGAAATCGGCCCGTCTGTCCCCTTCAAATCCTGATTTAAACTCACAGCTGGAGGCCGAGCGAAGAGACGGCATCCAACAATAATTCATTCGCACTTTCTGGCTCAATTTGGCTCCATTAAGGACGCTTTTAGCATTCACAAATAAAACTGTCATAGCAGGCTTTTCCAGACGTTTTCCTGCATATCTAGCAGTTTCTTCGCTGCCTGCTGAGTTTGCTGTGTCGGGACAGGAAAAAGAAGGTCAAGGCCCTGTAAATGAAAGCCGTATGCCTGGAGTACCTGCTGCTGTTTTCCTTTTCAACATGAGAAGGAGGTGATGGATCGCTGCTGAATAACTGTAGCTATTCTACAGCGGAGTCCTTGAAACACTTGAAAGTTCGACTCATTGAATGATTTACAATGGTGTAGAAAAACCTTGTTCATTTCTTTTTTCTTTCTTTTTTGTGCTTTTCCGCAGGGCTGCTTGCCTCTGGTGTTGATGTTCGATATCAAAGAGGACATTGAGGTGGAACCACAGTGCATTACTTCCCTAATGGAACAGCTCGATGTGTTCATTAGCGTCAAACCAAAACCCAAGCAGCCTAGCAAGGTTTGCACACAAGCACAAACTCGTAGGGCCCTATCATACACCCGGAGCAATGCGGCACAAGGCGCGACGCAATTGTTGTTTGCTAGTTTCAGCTTGGAGCAAGAGTTGTTTTGACGTTTTTCGCCACACTGTTTAAATAGCTAATGTATGGTATGTTTAAAAAGCTAATACAGGGTATGTGCTCATATGTGCACCCATAGGCGTTCTGGACTAAAAAAGGAGGCGTGTTGAGGAGCATTGTGAGAAACTATAATAGACTGTTCAATAGACCAGAACAAAGCCGGTCTAAAGTTCAGTGCAGAGTGCGTTAGTTGTGCGCCTCGCTTACACTTTGCTTAATACAGACAGGATGTACAGCAATACGCAAATATCTTTACATATGAAAAATAATAAAAATATTAAGGATATTTATATAATATATAATAAGGATATATAAAGGGTATAAATATAAAGGATTACAATATTACAAAGCATTATTTTCTAGCCTACATAAATATAAAAACCATACTTTCATGCCATCTCGGGGGGCTTTTTCAGTTTATTCGTGACAATTTGCTTTTGTATAATGCTATCATTATTAGCAGTATTGTATATGCATGTTATTATTTGTTTTATTAAAAACAAGCTTAGATTTGCCCACCTGTCAGGTGTTAGACCATATGGGGCACAGCGTGAGTATTTGGATATAACTCAGTTTTTTGACCACACTTCATTATTACTGTTCATTTATTCGTTTGCTGGAAATTAGAACTGAATTTAGAAATAGTTTTGAAAAAAAATCTTTGCGCTTAACACACGAAATTAATTATTTATAGGCTAATGGATGTCTGTGCGTACAAGAAGTTTCCCTATCCACGAGAGTGAAAGTGAAAGTAAATAATGAGGCTCATCTCTCATTGTTGTGCTCCTGATGCTCTGTTTAATTGTTTTCTTGCTAGTGAAACGCTCAGTTTTTCCACTTACAAAGTCCATCATGTAAATAGCGAATGCGCTCTTGGCGCGACACAACTGACTCTTAAAGGGAATGGGAGATGAGACTCTGATTGGTTTATTCTTAAAACACACCTATAACTCATTAAGAGAATAAGCTCAACCCTTTTAGATCATGCGCCACAAATTGTTTTGCAAAGCAAATTGTTCCGTCCTTAAAATAGCAAAAGTGGATTCTGACACAGCCCCCTGCGCTTTACACTTTGCGCATGGATCGTCAAAATAGAGTTCAAAGACTTTTGCTTGATTTAAAAGTGCATATGGCTTCGCATAGGGCTGGGCGATATTGCAAAAAAAAAAAAAATGATCACGATTTCATGTTTCATATTATTCGATATTGAAAATTATTGAATATCTTTTTACAATCCATTTAGGAATATTAGGACTTTTTTTTTTATTTAACCACTTTATTTTAATTTACCAACATTACTAAGGCAAATAGTTTTAATAGTCAAAAACAAAATTAAAACTATCTGATCTCTTTATAATAAAATAAACCTAAGTGTTAAAGAGACTAATAAAGTTGATAAATAAAAAGTTACAAATGTACAAAGTGTGTTCAATGGAAAAGTGTACATGCTGAACAATCAAAGCAAACTTTAAGGTAGATCAACATCTGTAAGGTGTAAATAATAAATAACATAATAAACCTCAAACTCTGTAAACAACGCAAATTATGATAATCAACTCTGAGCTTTCAAGTAGAGAATCCAAACATCGTCATTCAAATACACATTGCAGCATTACAAATCGTGAAGTTGGATGACTACATGACCCCCTATGCTAAAAAATCTTTCAGATAGGGTGTTAGTGGCTGGGATGCACAAGAAAATAAACCAAAAAGCAACTCTGGCGACATCCTTATATGCGGTTTTATTTACAATCTCTTCACTGCTGCTAGCCACGGCACACATTTTCATGTGGTGTTATTCTGACCTGAAGTGACAATAACCCAAAACTCACAAGTAAAAAGCGCAAGCGCCTGGTTTCCCTCACCCTTTTCAATGCGCTTTGCGCTCATGCTCCCCTGCTGACTTTCATAATTAGGCAACCATGAACTGTTTTCTCAGTGGATGAAAAACAGGCAAACCATTGCTGCAGCTCAGATACAAGTTTATGGAGAAAACTAACAAGCACTGCAGTGTTTAGGTGCTCTGTGCTGGTCTGAGAAACTATAGCCTTATCCCGAAACTTCATACTTTTTTTTTTTCCTTATTGACAATGGTGTACGGTCAATAAATACCAATACCAATTTTATCACCCAGCCCTAGCTTCACATTATGAGATTTTAAGCACACTTCGATTTGGTTTGATTAAAACAAACTTGGTCTGTTAGTGCAGATCATATGAAGAAGTATGAAAACTGCCATCCGAACCCTGGTCCACACCAAAGTTTATATAGAAGCTGTTTCCACCACTGAATAAAAAAAATAAAAGGGTAACAGCAGGTATTGTGGCTTTTTTTAATAAAAATTCGGAGTTTTGTATATATATGAATTATAATTATAAAAAAATCTTAATTATGAGAAATAGTTATAATTATAGGCGAGTCAGTGGCGCAGTGGGTAGTGCTGTCGCCTCACAGCAAGAAGGTCGCTGGTTTGAACCTCGGCTCAGTTGGCGTTTCTGTGTGGAGTTTGCATGTTCTCCCTGCCTTCGCGTAGGTTTCCTCCGGGTGCTCCGGTTTCCCCCACAGTCCAAAAGACATGTGGTAGAGGTGAATTGGGTAGTCTAAAATGTCCGTAGTGTATGAGTGTGTGTTAATGTGTGTGTGGATGTTTCCCTGGGATGGGTTGCGGCTGGAAGGGCATCCGCTGCCTAAAAACTTGCTGGATAAGTTGGCGGTTCATTCTGCTGTGGTGACCCCGGATAAATAAAGGGACTAAGCCGACAAGAAAATGAATGAATGAGTTATAATTATATATAGTATAAATATAGTTTTTATAGTATATAAATATTATTCCTGCAATTTTTTATATAAATATATTGCAATTTTGTTTTCAATAACAAAAATAATAAAAAGTCTGTACTGCAAGAAAACAGTCAAAATTAACCTTTTATTTATTTATTTAATTATTTATTTATTTTATTCAGTTATAGTAACAGGGTTTCATGAAGAGGGCTGAGAATGTTTTTATTTTTTATTTTAATATATATGACTATAAAACATGCCTGAGAAGCAAACTGAGAAGTAAAAGGTAATGACAGGTAATTGGGCCTTTTTTCCCTCAAAACTCGGATTTTTGTAGATATCAACTCAATAAAAAAATCTGAATTATGAGATATAGTATAGGTATACAAGTTTTAGTTGACTTTTTTATATCAGAGATTTTTGTCTAAAGTCAGAATTGCTATATATAAACTCACAGCTCTCGGATTAGAGTCAGTTTCGAGTTTGTCAACCTTATAACTTTAATTTTGATTATCTCATATTATCTCACAACTTTAAATTTATATCAAACATTTCTGAGGAAAATCAGAATTGTGAGAATAAACAATTGTTAGTTTTTTATCATAGTATAAATATTTTTATTTATTTTTTGTAAATATTTTTACTATACTTTTTAAATCCAGAATATTACAATTTTGTTTTCAATAAAATGAAATAAAAATCAGAACTCAGAAAAGTTAAAATAAAACTTTTATTTTATTCATGTTTTATGCAGTTATTCTAACAGGATTCCATAGAAGTTGGCTGAAAAACTCACAAAATATTTTTTTTCTAAATCATCTTGTGTATATATTTTATTTTAATAAATCTTTATGATACCACAAAAATGACTCTGAGAAGCAAACCAGGATTCTTTTTTGGATTTAGAACAAAAGGTGTGAACACACTGCACTTTTCTCAAACTTTTAAGCCATTTTTAAGCAGTCACAAGAATAAATTACATTTTGAAATGTCTTACAAATATTATATAATTAATAAATTATCTGCACATAAGAAACATTTCAAGCACACACACATACATGGTCATATATCCCAGTGAGGACTCTCATAGACATAATGATGGTTCTATTATGCAAACAATATTCCATCCCCCATCCCAAAACCCAACCCACAGGAAACAATCTGCACATTTACATTTCCAAAATACCTAATTTATTTACTTATTATGTATTTATGAGCATGTTTACCCTTGAAGATTTCAATTTTAGTCACCACAGTTACAAGTCCCTTCAAGTCTGCGTGCATTAAGTCCCCACTGGAATAAAAAAAACTCAAGCACACACACTGTACATTCTCCAAACTGCTGTGTAATAAAAATGCGTTCACACAAGTGTGGATTAAGTCTTCATCTTTTTTGTGGCCCCATGCAAGACATCCTGAATCCTGAGATCAAAAATTGAACGCCTAGTTCTTTCAAAGGCTCAAAATTAAGACGCCTAGTCTTGTAAAAGTAATGTATGGAGCATATAGGATTTGTAGGTGGCTTTGCTACCAGGATGTGGAAACTGGGAATGCCTCACGTCCTCGGTCACGGTCAAGGGTGAAATCCTATCCTGTGTTTTAGACTGAATGGCAGCGCTGTAAATTATCAGTCTTAGTATAAACCTCTGTTTTTCCATTTCTATGATTTGTGTCGATGCCTCTAGATTCTCTTCTTTCACTCTGCTAATAGAGTGCTGCAGTAGTAGCCTTGACTAGTTTATACAGCACATATGCTAAAGAGGAAGTCTATACAGCGCTACCAATTAAATAGGGGAAAATAAGGCCGTGCAGAATTCCAGCACATCCACAGGAAACCCCAGATTCATTTCAGTTCAGCAAGTTCATTGCTAACAGGCAGATCTTAACAGCTTCAAAAGTTTAACATACAGCTTTAACAGTCTGAAATAAAAATCAAATAATACTGTTACTAAAAACATTGATACTTGAAAGCTCATACTACTCATTTTGGAATCACCTTATGTACTGCTAAACAAAAGAACAATTATTGCTTAGACTAAAATGTAGAATAACATGATTTAAAGGAGACCTACTATGCCATTTGTCACAAAAAAATAACTCTCTGCTGTCTCTTGAGTGTGTGTGTGTGACATTTCAGCTCAAAAGTCTCCACAGATAAAGTTTATAACTCTTTGAAATTGACCCTTTTAGGCTGTTCTCCTAATTGTGTCATTTTGCTGAAACGACTTAACTACAATTTAAATTCAAATAAGACTGTTCTCTTTTCAGATAAGGGCAGAGCTCCAAACGCCTATGTGTCAGCATATTGGCAGATAAAAAAAAGACTATCTTAACATAAGACCATCTTATGCTAATGAGGGAGAGATCGTCACTAATGGGCGGGGCTGATGAAACGTACAAAGGGAGAATGTCAATCAAAGTGTTTCTGCAGACTGTTTTTATGAAGTGTGATTAAAAAAAAATTAATTCATACGTTTTGACCATTAGAAGCTGGTTATATTCACAGATATTGCCACACAACAGTTTAAACCCCTTATAGAAAGTGATTTTCGCATAACAGGTCCTTTTTAAAGTGCCTCTATAATTCTGTCATGCAGTGTTTAATGTGTCTGTTTGCGAATGTAAAAGATCTGCAAAGTTTAACAGGTCAATATGCTGCACAAATAAAATGAACGGCTCCTAAACTAAAGAACTGATCTGCCCAAATGAGTTGTCAGAAATTCGGGTTTCACTTCCCGACCTGATCTATGTAGGTCTGTAACAAATTTGTATAATGCCGGTATATGTTATTCATAGATCCTTTTTACATTTCCTGGTTTCTTTGCTGTAGAAGTGGTCATAGTTGGGTAAACTTAGAGTGCATCGAATAGGAGAGTACAATAAATCCTTCTTTTACAATCCTATTTGTTGAAATTATAAAAGAAAAACTCCATGATGGTGTTATTGATACTTTCAGAAACAGGAAAGGAAAGTGTGAGACTGATAGTGGCTGCCAGAAGAGAGAACAACGTCAAGTTTACTCTCAGCCCCATAGACTATGCATTAGAAACACCTTGCATAAGCAGTATGCTTAGTTTTTCTGTAATTTGACGCAAAGATGATATAATACATACATAAATGTTTGCATTTTTATGTTTGTATATTTTTAGAAAAGCTCCATTGGCTGTTCATAGACTTTCAAAGCCTTAAGTTGGTTGGTTGTTGCCAACATTATGTTGAGAAGAAGTATTAAAGGGCACCTATAGTGAAAAACCTACTTTTCAAGCTGTTTAAATAGACATGAGCATAGATATAGTGCATAGACCGTAATATTGGGGTGATATAAACACACCCAGTCCTTTTTTTTAATTTAACAACATAAAAAACAATGGACCAATGGGAGCGGTTTTGAGACCGACCGCAACTTGACGCAGGAGTGTGGTCCCCCTGCCTACCAATTTTGATTGACAGACACACATTAAAACATCCTCATGTTTTGTATCAAGTCCGCAATTTTCCGCATTTGAGTCAAAGCGATGTCACCAAAGCAACACCCTTGCTCAATTTTTGGATATAATGTTTGTTACAAGAAACCACAACCTCTGCTCAACCAAAGTCACGTGACTTTTTTAATGTACAACAGACTTTATTTGGTAAATGTGTTTATAATAGTTTATTCTCATATATTTTTATCAAATAAAATTAAAATATCAGATTTTTTTACTTGAATTACACGTCTCATGCATGAGGCATTGCAAAACATTTAACAAAATAGTAAAACAATACTTTGAAAAGAAAAATGAATGCAAATGGTGCCTTGCCGTTTCCATGAGAACTTACTGTCTTTTCTGTGGGATTTAGATAGGGGTTTTCTTTAATGCCACCGAACAAACACTGTAATAATGATTTAAGAAATGTAGCACCTACCAGTGGAGGGGAGCTGATTTCTAATCTCGGTCTTTCCTTTGGTCTGTCAGTCGGTGATCGTGAAGAGCGTGGAGAGGAATGCTCTGAATATGTATGAGGCCAGGCGTTATCTGTTGGGTTTGGAGAGCAGTGGTGTATCCGTCCCGAGCAGCAGCAGTAACAGCAGCAGTCCTCCATCAGCCCCTCCTCCACCACCAGCTCTCAGTTGCACTGTCGGCCTCGACATCCTGGCCTCCGCCGGACTCGGTCTTAACAGCCTGGGTGAGACAACAGTGAATTACTGATATGATGAATATACTGCGTGTTTGTCTGTTACCTTAACCTTGAGTTAGGTAGATTCTATTTTCATAAAGAATCCAATGTTGTGGCCTAAAGGTCAGTGGCCTGTTGCATGAAAGTTAAGAAATGCCTTAGTTTGAAGGCTAAGTAAAACTTTGGTCGCAAGAACAAAAACCTAAGGGTCAACTTAAGGGATTTTGAGCCATTTTTCTTGCAGAATAGAGGCCAGGTCTCTGTGATGCAGGTGGAGGAAAACGATTCCTGGCTCGCTCCTCCAAAACACCCCAAAATGACTCAATAATATTTGGATCAAGTGGCTGTGCAGGCCATGGGAGATGTTCGACTTTTCTTTCATGTTCATAAAAACCACTGTCACTACTCTTACTGTGTGTATTGTTGGATTATCATCCTGATACACGGAACTTCCTTCAGGAAGCTTCAATGCTTGGTCACAGATGCACCAGCGGGATGCACACCAACAACTTATCCTCTTTTGAACTCTGATATGTTATCCACAATGCTGTCTGCATTGCAACATTAAGCAAAAAAGTGCTGCGGTCATACTAAAGTTTGAATTCTGTGGTACAGTTCTACGAAAAGGAGTGGAACTAAACTAGAAAAAGTGAGCGATTGATCCATTTTTCTGTACATAGAGGTCATGTTTTGATCTTTGATTGGTCTTATGCAGCCACGCGATGCAATTTTGCAGGTCACAATTCACCAAACTTGAACTTTGCGATGCAAAGAACTGCAAAACTTGTCGCACAAGCTTGCGTTTTCAGTCTGTCGCATTCGCATACGTATGAAGGGAAGTCTATGGGATGAAGTGCACTGTGACCATGGCCTGACTCTAACTAATTAAGCTAATTAAACCTTTATACTCCCCAGGAAGCATTTTTTGCTTTTAAAAAAAATGTGTAATAGACGTCTAAACATAGTCGTCTTGGCTAAAACAAGGCTAAATCTGGGCTGTCAGTGAAAATCTGAAAGATAAAGAATAGGTTAAAACTAGACTAGTCATCAAACAAACAGAAATGAATGACTACACATATTAAGCCTGTCTAATCTGTCTATTTGACTACTAGCCTAGTTTTGGGCTATTCTTAGATGTCTATTAGATTTTTACTGAAAGCCCAAGTTTAGCCTTGATTTAGCCAAGCTGTATACATTTAGATTTATTTTAGACGTTTATTAAACACTAATTTGTTTGCTGGTTCTGCTCTAATTGGTGAATCAATGAAGATTATCCACCAGGCTGGTCACAGATGAAACCCTCAACACTAAATATCAGTGTTTCAGTTTCATAGTCCAACCCTTGTATATCTAGATCATACAATTATGAACGTTTATACAAGTTTATATAATTTTTGTAGGAAACATGTCAATGCATGGTGATATTTCATATTTAAACAAAAAACAACCTTGTAAACTTGGCATATGAATATTAATTTGGTTATGTAACCTTCCTTTTGTTTTGCTGAAAGGCATATAAGTGGATGCAAGCCACTTCACTGCAAACCACTTAAACTTGCTGTGTACCACAGCTTGTTCTGCCAACACAATCAGTTGGCTCAGACTACTGCTCAATACTGAAGTTGCCATTTTTGAATGATGTTGCATTTCTTTCTTTGTACCAGTGACAATTAAAGGAAAACTTCACCAAAAAGAGATTCAAGAGTTCAGACTTAGATATTGCTTGACACTATTAGCAGGTTTGGCATGCTGTCCCGGAAGAGAACCCTGAGCTTGGAGATAATTGAGCCCAGGGCTCCCGCCTGGTCAATTGACCATGTAAGGGGAGTACGAGATCAGGTAGTTCTCGAGTGTTCCCCGTGGTTAAGGAAGAAAGTGGGAGAAGGGGTGGATGGGGGGTTTCTTCGGAAAACGTAGATAAGGGAGTAATTTTTTTTTTGCATATCACGTACCTCTCGAAATTACTTTGTGAAAATTAAATGCACTGTTGGTTTTGTTCAGTCCCAAACTATCCAAGATGTAGGTGACTTTTCCTCAGTAAAACATTAAAGAACATTTGAAACCTGAAAACTTGATGCTTGTATATTCATTAAACATCAAATCAATGGTTTTTGAACATATATAGCAAAACAAAATGAACACCCCTGGCTTCAAACCAAATTCTGAGGTCTGTCTGTGCAAGAAAATAAAACAGTACTTACAACATTTTTAACAGTTATACTCCGCTTCAGGCTGGCAATAATCATACTTTTGCGATTTTATTTTAGTGAATTCGATTAACTAGTACACCAGCTTGACTGAACTGTATGAAATAGTTCACAGTTCAAACATTTGCAGCATTTAAAAATCTAACCATAACTCACTTTTGGATGTTTACAACAGTCACCTCGGCTCAAAATATGCTAATATACTGGCTTAGATGATCATTTGATGCCATTTTCATTCAGTTTCAACAGGGAATGAAAGGGAGAGTTATGGAGTTCATATGTTTTAGACAGTAAAATATCTACATTTTGTGAATATATAAATAAACTGGTGAATCAATTATTTAAACCAGTTCATTACAACAAACTTTCCAAAAGAACTCAAAGAAAAAATACAATATTGTAACAAATAAACGTGTACGTTTAAGTGTAGTTTAAAATCAATATCACTTTATAGCTGTATCATATCTTATAAACATAAACTGTCATAATTGAATAATAGGGTCATTCTGAATGCTTTCTAAAAGTGTAAACGGTACGTGATCTTTTTAGACTTTTGAGATGAGGTTTTTTTGTTTTATTTCTTGTCAAATCGGACATTATTAAATAATTATAATAGACAATATATTGCAGAATTTTTATGAACAATGTCTAATTTTGAATGTGATCTGCAGGTCTTTTGGGACCTACAGCCGCATCCATGACAGGACCTGCCACCAACTCTCTTTTGAACGCTCTGAACAGCTCCATCAGCCCATTACAGACACCAGGATCTGGGTCACCCAGCCCCAATCTCTGGCCCAACTCACTGACCAGTCCTGCCAGCACACCAGGTAACACTAACAGACCACTTTTGCAAATAAGCCCACTCAATGTACTTTTGTACAGGCTCATACAGGGATTGGAAACTGAGATGCCTGGTTTTAGACCACAGTACTTCATTAGTATGGTGCAGGGTCTCCTTTTGCAGCCAATACAATATTAATTAGGCTTGGGAATGTCAAATACAAGCCCTGCACAACGGCCAGAGGGATTTTGAGCCTTTTTTCTTGCAGAATAGTGGCCAGGTCACTATGTGATACTGGTGGAGAACGTTTTCCTGACTCGCTCCTCCTAAAAAACCCAAATTGGCTCAATGTTTATTTAGATCTGGTGACTGTGCAGGCCATGGCAGATGTTCAACTTCACTTTCATGTTCATCAAACCACTCTATCACCAGCCTTGATGTGTGTATTGCTGTATTATCATCCTGATACATGGCACTGCCTTCAGGATACACTGCTTGAACCACTGGGTATGGTCCTCCAGAATGGCGATGAACCCATGTAGCACAAGTATTGGGCCTAGGGAATGGCATGATATTGCAGCCCAAACCATACCTGATCCACCCATATGCTTTAATCTGCGCATTAACAGTATGGGTGCTACACTTCTTTGGGGCTTCTCCACACTATAACTCTCCTGGATGTGACTCATCAGAGAACAGTACATGTTTCACATTGTCCACAGCCCAAGATTTTTTCTGCTGGCACCATTGAAACCCATGTTTGGCATTGACATGAGTGACCAAAGGTTTGGCTATAGCAGTCCGGCCATGTATAGACCCTGTGAAGCTCCCAAAGAAAACAGGAGAGTGGAAACATGAGAGTTGAGATGCACATTTAATTCTGCAGTGTGTTAGACAGCTGTGTTAGCACCCGGACATCCCTTTCTTGCATTCACAGTTACTCCTGTTGGATGTGGTTCATCCTTCTTGGTGGTACAGTATGCCAACGTTACCCTGGATACCCTGTCTCTTGATACATCACAAAAACCTTTTAGGCCAGGGGTGTGCAAACTCGGTCCTGGAGGGCCGGTGTCCCCCTGAGTTTAGCTCCAACTTGCTTCAACACACCTGCCAGGAAGTTTCTAGTATCTAGTTAAACTCTCCAGGACACCGGCCCTCCAGGACCATGTTTGGACATCCCTGTTTTAGGCAAAACTTTGCTATTACTCTGCTAAATAAACCTTCACACTTTACTCTTACTGGTTGAATCTGCAATCAATAGAGATTGGCCACCAAATTTAGCCATGAAACTTCATCCAACACTTAATTGGCCAGTTTCTGTTTCATTGTCCATCAAGATCAACACAGTGGATCATGTGTCCGAGTCCATCGATGTATGCTTGTTTGGCGAAAACAAAAATAAATCACTATTTTATTTTAATAGGTTTCTCATCACCCCTAATGATCCACCCAGCCACCCCAGCCACTTTGACCAGTATTTTGCTGTCAGGAGTGCCAGGATACACCCAGAACACCCCTTCTCCTCCACCTGGTCTTGCACCCATAGATCCCCAGGTCAACTGCATATCAGACTGCAGTAAAGCCGTGTCTCCACTCAGCACCAAAGTGAGTAAATCTTCACTCACCATCACAAGATTATAGAATGTTATGCTAAAACTATGTCTTGAACATCTCTTACAATTAGTGTTCTTCTTCGTCTATGGTGTGTGTGTGTGTCGTGTAGCAGTCCAGCAGCATGTACAGCAGAATGTCTGCAGCATCTCTGGCAGATAAAGTTCTGACCGCAGCTCATGGAGACTCTGTGCAGGAAGCCAGTCCTCACTGTCCTTCTGAACCGCTGTCCAGCAAGTCCAGCCAAGACCAAGGTCTGCATTACACACAACTGACCCTTACATCCTCAGGACCAGACACATTCCTCTAAACTGCTAAAAATTATTTACAAGGAATTATCCTCATTAAAAAAAAAATATATATATATATATATAAACAAAGCTTAATGTTAAATGAAACCATTTGCCAATATGTATTATATATGATGCAAACACAATCATCCGACACAAACACATTTCAGTTCACTTGAAATAAAACAGGTGACGCAGTGGCATAATAGGTAGTGCTGTCGCCTCACAGCAAGAAGGTCGCTGGTTCGAGCCTTGGCTGGGTTAGTTGGTGTTTCTGTGTGGAGTTTGCATGTTCTCCTTGCGTTTACATCGGTTTCCTCCGGGTACTTCGGTTTCCCCCACAGTCCAAAGACCTGTGGTACAGGTAAATCGGGCTAAATTGTCCATAGTGTATGCATGTGTGTGAATGAGTGTGTATAGGTTTCCTAGTGATGGGTTGTGGCTGGAAGGGCATCCGCTGCGTAAAACATATACTGGATAATTCCGCTGTGGCGACCCCAATTTAATATAGGGACTAAGCCGAAAAGAAAATGAATGAATGAAATAAAACAAATTTCGTTCACAATTTGCATTTTACACAACTTAAACTCGACAGACTTGGTATAAGGGACAAAACTACTTTATAAATGTTTACACTTTGACTATGAATGCTTCCTTAAAGGTTATCAGCCCATATAGTGTCACATTTTAAAACTTAGAGGCCAGTCTTTACAAAAAAATACCACATTTTATAAGTTTGAATATATATTCAAGACAAAAGAGTTCTGTATTTAAAAAAAAAAAGCTAGACAAAACTAGACAAAAGCACTAAACTAGACACACTAGACAAGACAAGTTTTTTCGATGAATGTGCATTTTATATTTATTTATGTTTCACAAAACATTCAAGTCATATATCACAAGAAAGCTCTATTCTCAATCATTTGGCAATGTAGGTTATTATTTTGTATGAAAATGAATAATATTAAAATATTTAATAATCATCAGAGGAAATCACACCATTCTGTAGTGTCCAATACTGACATCGCTTCACATGTGAATTCTTCAGACAGCCAAAAAAACATTATGATTTTATATTGAAAATTTGGCCGAAAAAAACAAACAAAAAAAACAAGTTGAAATCTTTTTGGCCCACTTCTAATTCATTAAATAGACAAAAACAGACACAAAATATGAAAAGACTGTTTAAAATTTCTCTGTTTTTCTGGATTTAATTTTTGTGTTGAGTAAAACTGAATGTGTGTTTTATTCTGTAAACTACTGATGATGTTCCTTCCATGAAATAAAAATGTTGCGATTTAGAACAATTTTTTTTTGCATTAAAAAAAAAAAAAAGTGATGTGTGTTTTTATATCGATGTTCATATTGAGTTTCTAACAGCACAATGTCAATGCTTTAACTTCAAAAGATTTAAGAAATCAATATTTGGTAAAATAACTCAGATTTTTCAACCAATTTTTCAACACTGATAAAAAAGGGACTAAGCTAAAGGAATATATAATATGAACAATATATAATATGAATGAAAACATATTGCAGAATATAATATAACGAATATAATACAGAATATTCATTTTACTAAATTGACTTCTATGAACACAGAAACCCATGTAAGTTTTTTACTTTCCTTTTTTACAGCCAGTCAAGTATGATGGCCTACTCTTCAAGATTGATTCCTCCTGACTTATGTCAGAATTGAGTAATTTTATCTGGTAAATGCCAGCGAGCTTTATTTTAACTGCAGCTTATGCCATGTGAATCAACATTCATGCATGCCACTTCCCAAGGCCACATTAATAGAAAGACATATTACACTCTCCTTTATTCCGCCCTAATGCAACCAGTGACATTCACTTCTGAAATTATATCAACCATTTGATTAGCGCTTGAAACAACTTCGTGACCTTCTCTGGATTGAAAGCGTAAAATTTATTGACTTTAGTCAGTCTAATTATGAATGAACATAAACTCTGTTTCAGATGGGTATATTATTGCTTCCTGCTCTATGAACAGAGCATTTGTGGAAGGTTTTCCGTGCTCCGGCATTGTTAAATGTGCTTGATTTGGCCTAGAATACATGAAGTCGGAGTGTTTTTGCTTTCAGATGAGGCGAAGTCAGTTCAATCTTGTTATTTCTTAAAAGCAGTGATGGCGTGTTAGGTTCTCTAATTGTGAGTGCTGCAGGAATACAATCTCCAGCTACTTAACTAAAACGTTCTTGAGGAAAGAATAACATCAATGAGTGTGTGTGCGTTTCAGGATCAGATACATTCGTGGAGGTAGGCATGCCCCGAAGCCCTTCTCACTCTGGAAACAGCAATGAATTGAAGCAGATGTTGGCGTCCTGTAAGACGACATCAGGGAAGAGGCAAGCTCTGGAGCTGCTACAGGGCACCAAGAACTCCCTGCTACAGTATGAATACACCATCAATCAATATTCACAATTACAATTTTCATTTTGGGGTGAAATTACATCTAATAGAAGATAACATCAATGTTTGTGTGTATAAGCTAGATACAGTTTTTTTTTTTTTTTTTTTTTTTTCAGAAAACATACAGTATTTATAACGGTGCTGTTGACTTGAATTTTTCACCAGATGTTGTTAACAATCAAAATAATCCATACATATAAAGAAAACTAAAATTAGTTTAGAATTTAAGTTATGTATTATAAAGTTCAATAACACGGGCGAAAAGTATTGAACACATGAAGGAAGGAAGGTGTAAACACACATGGAAAGACCAGACAGCAGCTTAAATCTCTCAGTGTAAACATTAACAGCTTCAAGCCGCAGTCACACTAGAGTTTGAACATGCAAAATTTTGTCTCATGGCGCTCGAAAAGGGGTGGTATTAAAAGAGTTGATTAGATGTTAAAAAAGAAATTGCTCCATATTTAAAATTTCTGTACAGAGGTCTAGTCAAAAATTTACTATGTTGAAGTCTTGGGGACAAAAAACAAACAAACAAACAAACAAACCAACAAAAAATAAAAATCACACCTATACAATGTATGCAGCTTGATTCTTCATATAAGAGAAGCTCAGAAGCTGTCATTATGAGAAAGAGTATTTTATTATATTATTATATAGACCATTTTGAGGAATGTAAACAATAGCAATGTTCCTAATGTATTTCCTGTTTTACATTTTTAATTTCCATAGCTTCCGAAAATCCAACAAGGTTCACATATTGTTAAATAAGGTTATGACAGCTGATTAAACGTGAAAATAGAACTGAATTGCCTTTTGTAACAGTTATTATATGATAACAAGCAGGATATGTTCAAGGGCTAATGACATTACCACATTGACAAGTATTAAATATGTTTCAGTAGTTCATTCCTTTTACCTTGTGTCATTTTATGCATTACAATTTTTTTCTGAATATTTTTTATTTTTTTTTGCTTTATTTGTTTGAAGTGTCAACAGCTCCTTAAGAATTTTATTTACCAGGAAAAATCCTGACATGCTCAATATTTACTTGACCCGCTATATGCGTGTGCTTGTGTAATATACTTCTGCCCCAGAATTGGCACAGTGATATGCGTTTATTACGGTTGATTTTAAGCTTAATTTTCACTGAGGCGGTGGCGCAGTGGGTAGCACGTTTGCCTTAAAGCAAGAAGGTCGCTGGTTCGAACCTCGGCTCAGTTGGCGTTTCTGTGTGGAGTTTGCATGTTCTCCCTGCCTTCGTGTGGGTTTCCTCCGGGTGCTCCGGTTTCCCCCACAGTCCAAAGACATGTGGTACAGATAAATCGGGTAAGCTAAATTGTCCGTAGTGTATGAATGTGTAAATGTGTGTGGATGTTTCCCAGAGAAGGGCATCCGCTGCGTAAAAAACTTGCTGAATAATTTGGCGGTTCATTCCACTGTGGCGACCCCAGATTAATAAAAGGGACTAAGCCGACAAGAAAATGAATGAATGAATGAACATTCACTGTGGCATTTATAGTCTTTGTTTCTGTGTATTATTTCTATATCACACAGGAACTACCCCTGTTTGATTTGGATTTATATTACATCTAAATACGTTCCAATTTAAACGTACTTTAAAGGCACATTGTTCTTTACAGCACATTATCTTACTATCTTTTTTATTTATTTCTTCATCTAGTTCAGAGTGTCTGTTGTCAGACTCCGACTCGAGTGCTTCAGAGAGTCCGGTGGCTGATAAACGTGCTCCAGGCAGTGAGAGAGCCGCTGAACGAGCCGCTCAACAGCACAACTCGGAGCGAATCCGCCTGCCTCCACAGTCCTCCTTTTCTAATATGCAGGTGACCACACTCTTAGACTTTTTATTGTATTTTTGCAGTAACTTACTGGCAGCATTGTTGCCAGCAATGTACAGCAATTACTTGTAAATGTGTATTACACTAGCAGGGTCCTACCGCAATTTCATTTTACAGTAAAATTGTCACAAGGTCTCGCACCACAGACGTTTGAGACTGAGGTTATCAAAAAAACAAAACTTATTTATTTACAAAAAACGCACTTACTACAGAAACAGGACCATTCAACTCTGGTAGGACATGGAGATGTTGACAATGCAATACCGGACTGAACAGAACACTGGAGTATAAATAGACAAGTTACAATGAACTGAATACGAATAGGGGTGAGACACAGGTGGACACACTGACATTAACACACGGCGGGAAAACAGAACAAAGGAATCACATGATGCAAACAGAAAGCACATGGAGCACGACACATGGGGAATCACATGACACACAAGCACATGGAAACACTACACATGGGACATCACATAACATAACACACCGAAGACACCAGACTGTGACAAAAATAGCCTTACCGCAACTTCTTTTTGGGGTAAAATGCACTTTACCACATTAATTTTACAGGATAAAAATTGACTGTACTTTTACTGTAATTTATTTACATTTTGCATTTTAGTATTTACAATTGAATTTAATAAATTACAAACAAGTGACGAGATTGTGTAGAATGTTATTTTTATTATTCATTGTTTAGATCAATTTTAGATGGTTTACTAAAGTAATTTTCATTCATCAATCTATTTTATTTATATTTTGTGATACAAGATGTAATAATTTTTTTTTCATTAATTTGTCTTCAACTACAGTAGCAGTACTTGATTATTTTAATTACAGTAAAATACTGAAAATTCCTAATATTTAGCACAGTAAGTTACTGTAACGGTTTTAAAAAGACCAACAATCATTATTCACATATTACTGTAGTGAACTGTAAAGAATGTGTGGTATTTTACAGGGCATTTCTGCAGTAAATTACAGTAAAATTGTGACAAAGTCTAACAGTGCAGCTCATAATGTCATTTACAAGAGTCTCAGTGTTTCCCTGAACTCCCAAAACAATTATCGAATGAACTGAGCAGTCAAAATCCTCATAGGGAACAACACAGCACAGGTCAAAAGTTTGGACCAAGTCAGATTTCTTAAAGTCTATTATGCACAGCAGGGCTGCTTCAAATGGTAAGAATTTTAATGGATTTATCGCTTTTTTATTGTAAATGTGTGAACAGTTTGTAATGAAACATGAGATCTTCCCTGACCTTAAACTCGAGATGTTTTTGCCAGGAAAATCAAAAGAGTGTGAAGTGTATGCGTACTCCCTAGATTTTCTCTTCTGTTTAATGCCATAGAAAACTAACTCGCACAATATTGAAGATGAATTAACGGGATTGGATCTGTGTTCGATCTAATATTTTGGTATCAGATTGGTTCCAAAAAAATAGTATCAGTGCATCCCTACAAATTTACCAACTATTAAATTATTAGCAAGCAGTCATTAACAGCAAATTCATCATTTGCACTTAAAGCCTTAGTTAATGATTTGTACCCTAAAGGAGACAAAGTGTGTATCAGCAAGTCCAAGTGTGTAATTGTGTGTAATCATAATTGTGCCATTTCGGTGATCGTCGATTTGAATTCAATCGAGATTGTACGCTTTTCAAAAGAGAGCGAAGCTTCAAATGCCTATGTGTCAGCATAGTGGCAGATTAAAAAACAAGACTGTCATATGCTATTGAGGGAGAGAAACTCACTAATAGGCAGGGCTTTCCCCCTGTGATTACACGTACAAAGTAAGAATGTCAAAGTGTTTCTGCATTACATAAAATTACAATTTTCCATTAGTCAGTAATTTGTAATTATTACTTTAAAAGTAACTTACCCAACACTGCTGTTTACATGGTAAACCCTTAATCAGAATATTGACTTAATCATATTAAAATCGGCGAATTGGTGTCCATGTAGACATACTCAATGTTTCTGCTTCACAAAATTGTAATGAAATGCACACTTTGTGACCATAAGGTGCCTTTCATAAATATAAAAAAGCCTTTATTTTTCCAAACTCCTGACCGGTGCTGTATGTGCCGCCTGTGTCTTGATCTTATGCCCTGCTTCTCAAGACAATACCATGTTTCTGAAACGACCGAAAGTCAGCACTCTTCTGTTCACCACAGTCCGATAAATGCTTTTGACAGAATGAGGCAATGTTTACCATTTGCCTTTCTCATTTTATAAACCAAGTTGACAGGAGAAACGAGGGACATAACTCATATATATCCTTTCCAAACAGCCTTAAACATGCTTTGCTTTCTCTGTTTTTACCTCCGCAGGCATTCGACTACGAGCAAAAGAAGTTATTGGCGACCAAAGGTATGTGATCGACCAATCAAAGCACAGTTAAATCTATATACCGAGTCTCCCACCCATCTATATTGTTAAAAACAGTTCATCTGGTGGGAGGTTTGGGGGAATTGGAAACCGTTCTGTTTAGTCTAGAGCGCCAGCAATGAACAAAGCAGATCTACTGTGTCTTCAATGTCTGGCAGCGATTCGGGGTGTCATTAAAGTGCTGTTGCACATTTACGGTAAAAATACTCTGCCTCATAAAGCTTCTCCACACCTCGCGTCTGCTGTCCAGCGTTTGCACTGTAAACTATGGGCCTGAGAATGAGGAATGTACCACGCATTTCTTATTCTCAAACTGTAAACTGGTCATTTTTAATGATTTATGTTGGAACGATGCTGAAATGTGGCACACTGTTTTATTGTAAAATGCATGGTTTTGGCAGATTTAACACAAAGCTGGGGAATTCTGTGTCAGATTCTTGATCAACTAATTGTAATCTGTGGGTTGTACATCACACAAAAATGTTAAAATATATAAATAAAATATAAAATATAAAATAACATAATATAATAATATATTATAACATAATACAATATAATAAAATCTAATATGATATAATATAATGTAAAAATATATAAAATAAAATCTAATATAATAATATAAATTAATATAATATAATATAATATAATATAATATAATATAATATAATATAATATAATATAATATAATATATCCAAATAATTAAAAATGTTAATGTGAAAAAAGTTTATTAATTTAATTTAGTAAACAGTTTTATATTCGGTTTTAGACAACACAATATCAGTTATCAGTAATATCATTTACTATGAGAAATTAATATTAAGTGAAATTAATATCACTGATTTTTATTCACAACTTACAACAAATAAAAATATTAATTAAAACATTTTCTAAATAAAATAACCATAATGGTGGTGTCATTTAATGATGGGATGATGTTAAAAAGGATTTTCATGAATTATTCTCCTTAATGTTTCTACATACACACAAAAATATTCTCTTTATACATTACCCCTCTGTATTTATATATTTTCATGATAATACAAATTATCATATTTTGACCCTAGACAATAAAAAGGCTTAGTCCCTAGTCTTGTGCATCATGAATATTATTGGAAAAAAAGCTAAACAATACATTAAATGTGCTAAAACTATTTATTTTCATTTTCTTTCTATTAAGATATTTAGTAAATGTCCTACATTAAATAAATCTAAACTTAATAAATGATTGAGCGGTTTGAACTGTAGTTCTGCTAAATGACAGAACTACAAAAGCGTTATTTGTACGTTGAAAAACAATTTCTGGTCAAACCATCCTTCTGCAATCTTATTCCAAAAACAGAAAAAAGGGCAGTTACACTATCTAAAATTGTGGGAGAGCATTGCTATTATGTGATTGTATTGTATTACAATATGGAGCAATTAAGTGTTGATGTTAAATCAAAGGTAATTCCCAAATACTTGAAATTGAAATATTGTAATGACAATAATTCACTATGGTTACAAATGAACTAGTCCAGGGTTTGTAAAGGAATCAGAGATTGAAATTGAATACCTTTCAAGACATTTTTTAAGACTCTTTGGATAAATTAAGATCTCATCACTACAGCAGGTTTCAACTAGTAACATTGCCGACATTTTAACTTGCAGTATATTTACTAAATACTGATTGCAACCCACTATTAAATGATTAAATTCAGCTGAAGGTTAGCATACTGATACCGAGTTTAGCCCCTTCTAAATTACCATTTAAGACTTTAACACTTTAAGAGCCTTAAATTTCTCTAAATTAATTTATAAATTTTACTTACTTTAAGACCCCGTGGACACCCTGTAGTTACAAATAACTGTATAAAATGCTAAAACATGAATTGATAAAAGCATACGATATGAATTAATTAATAGTACCCAGTTTTAATGTAAAATAAAATGCCATATCAGGGTGCCATATCACCCTGCAGCCCAAGACCAGATACTCACTGAAGCTAAGCAGGGCTGAGCCTGGTCAGTACCTGGATGGGAGACCACTTGGGAAAACTAGATTGCTGTTGGAAGTGGTGTTAGTGAGGCCAGCAGGGGGCACTAAACCTGTGGATGAGACGTTAGACCGAGATGCTGACTATCTGTGGTCATTAAAAATCCCATGGCACTTCTCGTGAAAGAGCAGGGGTGTAACCCCGGTTTCCTGGCCAAAGTCCCTCTATCGGCCCTTACGATTATGGCCACCCAATCTTCCCCATCCACTGAATTGGCTCTATCACTGTCTTTCCACTCCACCAATAGCTGGTGAGCGCACTGGCGCCGTTGTCCTGTGGGTGCCGTCGAATCATCCAAGTGGATGCTGCACACTGGTGGTGGTGTGGAGATTGTGAAACGTTTTCAGTGTATGGCCGTACACAATAAATGCGCTATATAAAAATACACATTACATTACATTACAAAATTGTAGAGCCAGAGAAGAGAGTCCAGAGCTGTTTATGGGGCCTTCTTGATGAAAAAGGCATGTTCTGCCATCTAAACAAATGCATATGATAATTTGCCTTTCTATATTAATTAGTGATATGTACTCATAAGAGCTTAATTTGGACAACTTTCAAGTCAATATTCTCAATATTTTGTTTGATTTGAACCCTCGGGTTCCTGATTTTCAATTAATTAACACTATACAATAAGATGTATTAGTTAATGTTGGCTAGGCATTTACTAATACAAACAAACAATGAACAGTACATTACAGTGTTTGTTCATGTCAGTTAAAATTAGTTAATGAAAATACAATTGTTTGTTAGTTTATGGTGCATTAACTAATGTTAACAAGCATGAATTTGAATATGGTAATAATGCATTAGTAAATGTTGATTATGATTAATAAATGCTGCACAATTATTGTTCATAATTGGGTCATGTTAGTAAATACATTAACTAATGAAATCTTATTGTAGAGTGTGACCAATAATTGCATCTAATATTGTCCAATCCTAAAAACTATACGTAAATTAAAGAATAGATTTTCAGCTTTGAGGTGATGTATGAATTAAATTTTTCTGAAAATCTACATGACTTATGACTGATTTTGTATTCAGTGCTCACATATTACTATACAGTATATATGATTGTTGAATTATTTATATTTTAAATACTTTGATTTTCAATATAGATTTTAAATTCTCACGTTATTCAGATGTATGATTCAAAATAAAGTGACAGCACAGGCAGTGACCTGCACTTGACATCTTTTAGGTTGTTTATATGCACAGTGTTCTGTGTTTGTCTGCACAGCCATGTTAAAGAAGCCAGTGGTGACAGAGGTCCGAACCCCGACTAACACATGGAGCGGTCTGGGCTTCTCAAAGTCTATGCCTGCAGAAACAATTAAGGAGCTGCGCAGGGCCAACCACGTGTCTTATAAACCCACCATGTCAACTACATACGAGGTAAACTCAACAGATGAGCAGATCACATGACTCTCCTGAATTGATGACTGTAGCTCATTCAGTGCATTAGGTGTGTACAGTACATGTTGCTCTCACTGATGTTGATTACTTTTAGAAATGCCTATATGAGTATTACTCTACCCAGGCACACACACACACACAAAAAAAAATGCTTTGCAAAAATCCAGAAATGTACCTGTATTAGCTGTAGTTTCCAGCTATACTGGGCACAAGAGGCAGAACAACACAATTCTTTTCAAGTCTTTTTTAGACAGATCAATCAATTGTCATTTTTGGTCCATAACAATAAATAAATAAATACATAAATAAATAAATAAATAAATAAATAAATAAATAAATAAATAAATAAAATAATAACATTAATATTATTCATAAAGCATTACTAACATGATTATGATGACTATTATTATTTATATATTTCAATTATTATTATTATTATTATATTATTATTATTATTAATATTATTAGTATTATTAATAATAATAATTATTATTATTATTATCATTATTATTATTATTATTATTATTATTATTATTATTATTATTATTAATATATTTATAAAACATTGTATAATAACAACAAAATTCATTCATAATTCATCCATCAAAATTCATATTATTCACAAAACATTATATCATGATGATGATTCATAACAAAAATAATAACGAATATTAATAATAAATATAATACAATTAATGATGATAATAACAATGACATTATTCATAAAGCATTGCTGTTATTATTATTATTATTATTATCAATAATACTACTACTACTACTAATAATAATAATAATAAAGCATCATCATCATAATCTTAATGTTAATAATTAAACATGATATTATTAATAAAAATTCTAAAAACTTAATAATAATCATAAAACATCATTATTGTTGTTGTTAATAATTATTATTATTATTATCACAAGAATATTATCCATGAAACATTTATTATGTTTGTTAATAATAATAATAATAATTATGATTATTATTATTATTATTATTATTATTATTATTATTATTAATATTATTGTTATTATTATTAATATTAACATCAAAATATTATTCATACATTATTTTATTGTTATTATTATTATTATTAATATTAAGAATGATGAACAATAATAATAATAATAATAATAAATAATAAAAATGACAATTATATTATTCATAAAACATTGTTGTTGTTGTTGTTGTTGTTAATAATATTAATAATAATAATAATAACAATAACAACAACAACAACAACAACAACAACAACAACAACAATAAAATAGTAATAACAGCAATATTATTCAGAAAACAATACGATTAGTATGATATATATATATATATATATATATATATAATTTTTTTAAATATATATTAATATTAATACAATTAAAGAAATAACAAAATTAATATTTAGAAATTTGTATTATTTTATGATGAAAATATGATTACTATTATATTAATAAGTGTTAATAACAAAAACGATAATAACAATAATAATAGTCATAAAATATTATTGTTCTTGATAATGATATTTAATAATAATAAATCATAAATAATAATAATAATAATAATTATTATTATTATTATTGTCATCTCATTACATAGTTTTCATAGCACAATATAATATAGTAGAAAAACAACATCAGTTTTTAATATAAATCATACAGCACAGTGTGGAATGTACAAGTACAGTATGATGAATAATATGGTTGTGTTTTCTTAGGGGTCTCCTCTCGCACTGTCCCGCTCCAGCAGTAGAGAGGGGGTGGCGAGCGGCAGTGATTCGGATAACTGGAGGGAAAGGAATGGGAGCGGGCTCCCAACACACAGCGACTTTCCCTCCCCTATCAGCCCCAAAAGAAAGCAGAACAAAACAGGTGAGCTCTTGCGCCAGTAAGACTGATCGGTTTGTTTTTACATTTGCTTTCTAATAACGCAAGACATATATACTTTAATTACATGTGATTAAATACAAATATTAAATATGAGTAAGTTAGTGATTTAAGGAGATTTAAATATTTCAAAAGCTCCCTTTATTTAAGTGTACCATTTGGTATACTGAAATACACAGATCATTTGTGTGTTGTGTATGTTGGATTAGAGCACTACCTAAGCAGCAGCAACTACATGGACTGCATCTCATCGGTGACGGGAACGAATGGCTGCAACCTCAACACGTCTTTCAAAGGATCTGATCTGCCGGAGCTCTTCAGTAAACTCGGCCTGGGGAAATATACTGACGTCTTCCAGCAGCAGGAGGTACAGACAGCCGATGGGATCTACTCTATTACTGATGCTGTTTGATATGAGAGAGCAAAATGAGTTTTAGATTATTTCTGTCACCGGGAGCTTGCTTTAATGTCTCATGCATTTCAACTCTCAGGCTGTTTAAGCTTCATGACTGCAGAAAACATGTCAAAAAGCACTTCGTAAATGTTTATTTTGCATGTGTATATCATATGTACAGCAAGGAAAACAAGTACATAACACGTCATGTTTTTTTCCTGGGAATAATATTTCTAAAGGAGCTGTTGACATGAAATTGTTCCAGATTTTGGTAAAAATCCAAACAATCCAAACATAAAACAAAACAAAATAAATCTGACGAGTTCTGTGTAATAACAATGAAATGGCACAAGAAGAAAGTACTGAACTACTGAAATGTATTTAATATTTTATGTAAAAGGCTTATTTGGTGATGGCAGCTTAAAGACATCTCTCATATGGAGAATAAAGTCACATGAATTTCTCAGTTGTGAGCTTTTCACAAACTACAACAGAGTGTAAAAATCTAGATGGTTCTGTATGTCTCGCAAGATAAATTATCTGCCAGTGGGCTAAGTAAAATAAACTTATTTTCACTTTAAAATGTAGATTTAAACTAAAACAAGTCAAAAATTCGAAGAAAGAAAAACATATTTCACCTCCAAACATCATCATTTTTGTAGCCAGATGTTTAAAACTATTGAAAATGCCTTAAAACACATGTAAATTCTTCATTCTATTATAGTTAAACTTATCAGTGACTACAAATTCTGTAGGAGTTCTGTGGCTCCTGGTCAACTATGATTAAGACTCAACATTTTATATCCTACGATTGCGGATATCAATGCTGAAACAATATATTGTGCAGCCCTAATCTGCATACATTTATGCTGTATTTCATTACAACCATGCAATGATTCTGAATGACCAATTCTAATTTTACAATCTATGACTTTAATTAAAAGGAATGCTTCAGGTAGAAGCCCAGAAATGGCTTTGTTTTCTGTGCAGAGCCGCAAGTGTCAGTTTGACAGCTCTGTCTTACTTGTGCATTCACTGTGAAACTGGCCTGAGGTTACAATGACGCAACTTCCAGCACACAACCGAAACCCTCAGAATAGCCAATAGATAGTTCTGCGAATCACAGCATTCACAATATTCCGAGTGCTGCATTTCTAGACGCCAGTGATAATATTGTGGGCTCCGACATTTGGTTCTGGCTTTTATCTAGAAAATGTTTCTTCACACTGAAAGAAATAAAGCAGCGGCGCAGTGGTCAGTGCACATACAGCAGAAGTCAGAAAAAGATTTTAACACATTTCTTAACATAATAGTTTTAATAAGTCATTAATAACTGATTATTTTTATCTTGTCTTTCTTTGTATGCCATGATGACAGCACATAATATTTTACTAGATATTATTCAAGACGCTAGTATTCAGCTTTAAGTGCTATTTAATCCTGTGTGCTGTTGGGGATGTTTTCACGCACTGTGGGATGATTTTAAGTTTAATTTGGCCATACATTTTTCTGTTTCAGCAAGCAGAATTATTTTTGTTGACAAATCTTACAATATTTTGACACATTTTATTTAAAAGCTTTGAAAAAAAAAGTGATACACTCATGGCAAATTTACTACCCTTATTTTATGTAAGGGATGAAAACATCCACTGAATTAAACTGCTGTAAAAATGCATTAGAATTATTTTTTACATTTCTTTTTTTTTCATAAATCATAGGTGTTTAGAAAATTACATGATTTTAACTCTTTAATTGCCAAATTCATAAATGATGTCACTGATGTGGTGAAAAAAATAACACAAATTACTTATTTACAATATAAAAAGTAGATGTGGATGGGAATTTTTAAACTTTTATCACAGTCTTGCACATGTGAAAAATTGGTAACAACACCGCCTTTGATGCAGTTTTTGTGCAGCATACATTTTTTTTCTTATTTACTGTTGGTGGCTGCTTTTGCCCCATTATTATAACCACATTTTTTTATTACAAAACCATGACACCATACAGTATAATCATGCATTTTTGATTGTTGGTGGTTTTCCCTGTTGGGAAGAGCTATAATTTATAAATTTCACTGTTGGTCATTGGTTGGGCACCATTAACCCTTTAGATGAGCCTGTGCAAAAAAACTAAAACAGCATAATTTTTATTTTTATTTTTAATTCAGTTATATGGAATATTACAGCAAATTGAAGTTTGAGTGACCTTTGTGCACTTACCTTGATGCATCTGAAAATATCAAAATGCGCATCTCAGCTCTCAGAACTACATGGAGTAAACAAAAATAAAGACTGTATTTATGCACCGTGTGCCTTTTGATGTTGAGACATAGTTTTGATCAGGACAGAGGTTGATTAACAAATTTATGCAAGAAAAAAAAATAGAAAAAAAATTAATCTGATGCATTTTTACAGCAGTTCAATTTAGTGAATGTTTTTATCCCTAACATAAAAGTTAGTAAATTTGAACAGTGCACAAGGGTTAAAGCAGGAATGTCATACACAATTCCTGGAGGGCCGCAGCCCTGCACAGTTTAGTTCCAACACTGCTCCAACACACTTAAGCTGCAGTCACACTGGGCTTTTCCTCCCATAAACTTCCATTCAAAGGCACGCGAATGTGTTAGACCTGGAAACGCAGTCAAATTTTGCAGGTTGCTGCGGTGCAAAGTTCAAGCTAGGTGAACTCTGATCTGCGAAATCGCATCACTTGACTGCGTGAGGCCAATCGAGGACAAAGAAGGCCAATCTCTGGACAGAAATGTAAAACATGGAGCAATCGGTCGCTTTTTTAATGCCTAATAATCTTATTTATTCCCGCCCCTTTTCGCAGTGCCGCACGACAGAATTTCGCATTATCAAACTTTAGTGTGACCGCAGCTTTACCTGTAGATTTCCAACAAGCCTGAAGGACCCAATTAGTTTGATCAGGTGTGTTTAATTAGGGTTGGAACTAAACTGCGCAGGGCTGCGGCCCCCCAGAAATCGAGTCTGACATCCCTGGGTTAAAGGTTTAACTAGGTTGATTAGGCAAGTTAGGTTAATTAAGCAAATCCTTGTATAATGATGGTTTGTTCTGTAGACTATTGAAAAAAAATCTTGCTTAAGGAAACTAATAATATATATTTTTATATAAATTAAAAACTGCTTTTATTTTAACTGAAATAAAACAAATAAAGGCTTTTTCCCGGAAGAAAACATTTGTGAAATACTATGATAAATGCCTTGCTCTGTTTAATGTCATTTGGTAAATATTTGAGAAAAAAAAAAAAAAAAAATTCACGGGATGGCTAAACAATCGACTGTACACTAGATCTGACTCTAACACTTGTGGTCGTACATTTCTACCCTTTCTCTAAAAAAAATCCAAACTAAAAACATAATTTCTGTTTGTCAGATTGACCTTCAGACGTTCCTCACGCTGACTGATCAGGACCTGAAAGAGCTCGGCATCACTACATTCGGAGCACGCAGGAAAATGCTGCTGGCCATCTCAGGTCAGTTTCCTCCCATACAAACAAAATAAGGCTGTCACAATATTAATAACATCAGTAATGTTTCACAATTCTCAGTATGTTCCCTCCACAAATATTTTAGAATAAATTAATAGATGTTTTTTAAAAAATCCCATTTTAAAAACATTCATCCAGTCAAAAAAAAATGGTGCTAAACAAATAAAAATGAATTATTCAAGCATTACACATTGCTCTTAAGCCACAGATATCATCAAATAGAATCACTATACTCATTACCACCTGTGTAATAGCAGACACACGGCTATTGTTACATTTCTTTAAGGAAGGTAAACATCAACCAACAAAGCAATTGACTGTAATAACAGATGGACAACATGCCATGCAAGACTTTCCCTTCTAATAGCTTGGAGTAATTTGGACAGCTGCATGGTTTTGGGATTACGATTATGATTTATGGAGGTGTCAGAAACGCAATTAGATTTGGCTTTCCACTTACATAACCGGCCAGGGTTGACCGACTGTCCGCATCCCCAGCGTGACGCCGAGTGGAAGTGACAAGTTGGCCATTAAACATCTAGAACATCTGTGACATATTTTGGACCACCCACTGCTCGATAACCATAATGAGTTCCTGCAGTCTGGCAAGGATATGTGCTAAAAAACGAAAACATTGTTCCTGTTTTATCAGCCCCCGTGGTTGGAGTATAAAGCACAATGCCTGAGGTTGAGGTAACCCATTCATTGTTGTTAAATTATGGTGCGATGGGAAGACAAAATGTGGAAGTACAAGGAGGAGGAATGAACACAGATCTGTGTTTATTTCTTTGACTGACCTCACACACCGAAACGCAATCGTGCTGTATTCTTGGCTGATGCAAGCTGGTCCCAGTGAGAGAAATGTCCTCTTTCGCTTTTGTCCACTACAGTTAAAAAAGGCAGCATTGGCATCGTCAAGTGCACCAAGGAAAATGAGATCCATCATTTATGTACTGTATACACTCACCAGTCACTTTATTAGGTACACCTGTCCAACTGCTCGTTAACGCAAATCTCTAATCAGCCAATCACATGGCAGCAACCCAATACATTTAGACATGTAGACATGGCCAAGACAATCTGCTTCAGATCAAACTGAGCATCAGAATAGGGAAGAAAGGTGATTAAAGTGACTTTGTGTGGCATGGTTGTTGGTGCCAGACGGTCTGGCATCAACTGGGATTCTCATGCACAACCATCTTTACAGAGAATGGTCTGAAAGAGAGAAAACATCCAGTTTTGTGGGCGCAGAGGTCAGAGGAAAATGGCAAGACTGGTTCGAGCTGATAGAAAGGCAACAGTAACTCAAATAACCAACTGAGGTATGCAGAAGAGCATCTCTGAACGCACAACACGTTGAAACTTGAGGCAGATGGGCTAGCGCAGCAGAAGACCACACCGGGTGCCAGTCCTGTCTGCTAAGAACAGGAAACTGAGGCTACAATTCACACAGGCTCAACAAAAATGGACAATAGAAGATTGGAAAAATGTTGCCTGGTCTAATGAGCAGTCATGGCAAAGATTAAAGAAATCAGTTATTAGAAATGAGTTACTCACTATTATGGTTAAAATTATTATGGCTAGAAACGTGTTGACAAAATCTTTGCGTTAAACAGAATTTATTAACCAAGACACCATTTATTCAAAAAGTTGTCAACGTTTCATGGTGGTTGGCAAATAAAGGATGACGTCACTTAAATGAAGGCACATCCGGGCCTGCCGTAAACAAACTTTTGACTCTGCCCCCTTGTCAAACCAGGGCCACAAAGTGAAACGCACAGAAACGTGAAGTGCAAAGTGAAAACAACATCACAAAATGAAGCATTGCAATTGACCGTTCAAGATTTGTAAAGGCAATGCTATAAAAAAAATGTTTTGCAAATATACATATAGTTTTTTTATTGCAAATATTTATTTAATTTTTTTTTTTGCACTGCTTGATTTTAATTTGCAGTTCTTTGTTTGCTTATTTTTATTTTTCAAAACCTAAGTTTTCCCTTTGCAGTTCTTTATTATTGTAAGCAAAATTTATTTTATATATTATTTTATTTCTCAAAAATTAATTCTTGCTTTGAGATTTTTGGAGATTTGCATTTATTTTTGCTCAATACTTTATTTTTTGTTTCCAAAACTTTTTTATTTAGCAAGTATATATGGCCCAAAATTTACTCCATAGTAATTCCTTCATTTAAAAATTTGGTATGTCCATGTGTTACAGTGTATAATAGGGCCCTTTATGTTAATGTTCATTACAGCGCAAAAGAAAAGTCACTTCTTCAGCTCATCATGTCTTTCTCATTCATATATACAGTGTAAACAATGAATATTCAAGCGCTTCTCTTGTTTTGACAGAGCTGAACAAGAACCGAAGGAAACTCTTTGAGCCGCCCAACATCCGTTCTTCATTCCTAGACGGAGGCGCCAGTGGTCGACTGCCACGCCAGTTCCACACAGACATTGCCAGTGTGAGCGGGCGCTGGTGAGCCCATGCAAATGCAACTGCCCAAATCCCCCATACCGAACTCCAACCTGACATATAATACTGGACCAAAAACCTGGACCTTCTGAAACTGTGCCAAATAAACAAAGTCCATGGAGCGAAGGTTAAGGGTCGAAGAACGGTGTTAAATATTATATGCAGTATGGTACATTACGCAATATGGTACTCGTATAACAATGAAGGAAACGTTATGAAGGATCATTGGAGCTCCAGCACTGTGCTTGCATATGGAGCAGGCGGACTTTTATTTATATGCTCGTCTTAGGCTTCATCGTACTAAATCTTTGCACTTTAAATATTTGCTAAATGCTTTATCCATGAACAGATTCGCCTGACTAGACATTCATGGATGCTACTTAAAGCACTTAAATGGATATCAAGCCAAAGTGTTCCATGCAAATTATGAAATATTATCTCATGCCACAGCCACAACACAAGAGAAATCAGCAGCATCAGTCAGAGGACTCAGCATATTTATTTAGACACAAATGAAATGAGTGTACGTCTATCCCTCAAAGGCTTATTTTCATTCAGGTCATGCTAAACCATCCACCCTGATTATATATTGTATATAAATTATTTCTGACCCTATAAATGGCTGACTCTTGGTTCATCATCAAAAAATGAAAATTCTGTCAGCATTCGCTGTATGACTTCTGATCTTTTTTTGAAACATTACAGAAGATATTTAAGGTCATTTCCCCCCTTATTTACGCTATTAAACCCTCTGATGACTTCCAACCAGAATTTGAGCAAGCATGGGAAGCAGGCACACTAACAAGGTCACTAGACAACAGCCTCTAGCATCCGTTGCTAGTGCCAGCTCTCTTTAAGGCCAGGGGAATAAAATTTATCCACACAAATCTTACTAAAAGGCATTTATTGCACTTATTCAAACCTCACTCTCATCCGGGTCACGGCACCAATTTTACTCCATAATTTGTATAATTTTTCTCCAACACATCTGCTCATAAGCAAGATGAGGTTCGTCCAAACAACTCTTTATACCTAGCCTCTGTTACCTTAAGTGCCCTAAATCTCACTCCCTTCAGTGTCATAGCACCAAAGTAATTCTACTCGAGATTGACATATGAGATTTGAAAAAATGCCCAGTATGAGAGGGTTATGTGCTAACAAGGATGCTAAAACTGAATGAACTAAAACTTTTAGCATCAGTTAGTGTCCGTCTTGAGGCCAGACAACTAAGGTGTACCTCCTATTATTCGGATAATGGATTATTCACTGCTTTAAACCTTGCTCCAATCTTAGACATGGGACTAATGTAACCCCAGTTGGTTTTATCACTACTTTAACTAAACTTGCATTAGCAGTACTAGAGGCAGATGCACTAATGAGGATACTTTACTATAAGTCAAAAGAGATTCTTTTGAAGCCAGGAAAAACATTATTTTCACAAATTTCATCTAATTTGTCCTCTGTTATACCAAAGTCACTTGGTGGCCATCTTTGAAACTCCTCTCGGGCAGTATGCTCGAGCATTCCGTTTGAATCTGTGGGGAAACATCAAATTCTCTAAAACATGTTACATGTTTGGAATCACCAATAAAATTAAACATAAGTTTAGTTTCTAAATGTTCAAATCAAACAAAATCAACATTTTTTTCCAAGATGCCCAAGCTAATGCGCACTTGAAGGGAACGAGATCATCATGACACTAACCTCATTTATGGCCATTTTACACATTAGAATCCTCTGAATAATGCCTCGCCCAATCGAGCTGATCTTCAGAAGTAATTCACAAGTTGGACTTTAGTGCAAATCTCCTCCCAAAATGTCAGCAACTCTTTGTTTTTAAGTTGCTGAAGTAGTTGCATCATTTACCAGTGAAGATTTCACACTTTGTGGATATATTTCTCATGTCTGTGAAGCAAGTATTTAAAACTATTCAGAATCTATTCGTAAAAATGCACATCAGGTCCGAGCTTCTCCCCCGAAGAAACCTCAGTCAATAGTGATAGCTGATTGGCTCTTGTATTAGAAGGTGGGGCTTCGTTCACCATATTGACTGTTACATCTTCACTCATTCAAAACTATACGAGTGACATGTCTTGTGTATTCTGTAGTCTTTGGTTATACTGACTGCCCCAAACTCAGTCCAATTAAAATAGTAAAACACGAAACAATTATTTAAAGTTGTTGACTTTAACATCATATTTTAATTATTATTGGAATATTATGACTTATTATCTGTTATGAGTTCTTGGCTCAAATTGCTCATTTTACCACAGAGTCCAAAATAACTTGAAGTAATCTGAATAGAGTACACTCTTAGGGCTGGTTTGCAGCAGGAAGGGCATCCCTCAGTAAAGCATATGCTGGAGTAATAGGTGGTTCATTTCACCATGGCGATCCCTGATAAAGCAGGGGCTAGGGGTAAGGAAAGTGAGTAATATGAATAGTTGGATTCAACAATGCATATCACAGCCCGCAAATGGTCTGTCTATAACAGATCGTTAGTTATTGTTAAAATTATGTTTTTTACCATTGAAACCTGACTGCTGCACTCTACGGGCTTCAAATCAACATAATCCCTTAATTGTGTGGACAAAATATCTTGTTTCATGTCAAAGAAGTCATGCAGAATTTTCATTTTTGCATTAACCATCTCTTTAGCTGTAGCTTTTAGCCTGACCTGTCAGTAGTAGCTCTCTCAATAGAGCCTCAGTTTAGCCACTGACAGAAGTGCAAATTACAGCAGCTCCGTTTCAACCACCTTCCTGAATGCCACAGACCACAAGTCCTCACTGACCACACTCCCAATAATCAAGGCTTTTGGTGAAGCCTTGAAATTCCTCTAAAAACCTGATCATAGCTTAATCCACAGCTTTTCTCCTGCTTAAAAGCCTATGGCGTCTCTTAAGCTTCAGGTTTTGAAAGTGGTTCGTTTACCTCTCTTAAGCTTTATTCGTATTCTTCAGCCATTTCCAAGGGAAGTATTTCAGTTCCGTCTATATCTGAAGCTGTGAATGTTACTCTGAAGGATTGAAACCACCAAGTGCCTTTTGTCTTGCACTGACAACTTTTCCAAAGGAAATCAAAGACTATCAATCTCTCCAAGGTACAAATGTTTTACTAGGAAGTACCACTTTACAGAGTAATCTCGCAGTGCATTGCTTTTATCTTTACATGTATGGTATACATTTAGTATTTCCATTTGTACCTCATATGTGATGGAGGTACTATTTAAGTTTGTATTGTTTGTATTGTCGTATTATGATTGTTTATATGCTTTTTTAAAGTAGTTTGCTTTGATCATTTGTACGTAGAGTTGTCACGATACTGGAGTTCGGTACCAATTGATACTGAAATTTTTACGTTCATGAGCGCTGTTGAGCGCGTTCTTAAACACCGCTGATTTGCCATTGGGTTCACGTGCTCAACAGAAACTTATCGTTGTTTGCTGAGTGTAATCACAAATACAGGGACACTAGAATGTTTCAAATTCATATCGATCAGCTGGTTTGTCTATAAGCTGACATACAAGCAATCCGCTGATGAATCGCGGCTTTAAAACACTCCAGTGTCCCTGTATCTGGTTTAACTCCGTTTACATTGGTGAACTGATGACCTTCATAGCCAATCACAGTCATTTCTGTTGAGCACATGAACCCAATGGCAAATCAATGATGTTTAAGAATGCGCTCAAATGTTAGCGAGAAATTAACGGTTTTAAAACTTCAGTATCGATTGGTACCGAATTCCAGTATCGAGCAACCCTATTGTACACACAGCAGCAATCAATCTGTGTAATGGTTTGTCCTTTTTGATTCAATTTAGACAAATGAATGAAGCAATAGCTCTGTGTTGCCTAAAAAATATATATATATTAATAGTAATAATAAAAATGCAACAGACTATGCAAAGAATCGCTTTGCCATTTTAGGTTGAAAGGTTTCAGTTCAAGCACATACGCTTTTGTATGTTGTTTTTTCAATCTAAGTTTATAGACTTTTTCATTAAATTGCTACTTTGATATATCTTAGATTAGTGCCTTTTATATGCATCAGATGCTGTTTTAGTGAGAGATCAATTGTAATTCATTTGTAGAATTGTTTTGTTCTCTCCCTAATGCCGAGTTCAGACTGTGTGATTTTCAAATGTAGCCACGTCACAGATGCTTTCATGCTGTGTCCACACCAGATTGTGCAAAAAAATGCGATATTCGTGCATAAATAAATGCGTGGTCATTTTGAGTTTACTCGCTTCATTCGCGCATTAAATTCACTTCACAATCGATGCAGATTTGCGTCCTGGGCAGTGCTTCTGTCTGCCCCGTGATTCTAGCTTTATTACTAAGAGGCTAAAGTGGATTTTATTGAGATGGTAGTTGAGTTCATGTGCTTTAAGAAGGCTAAAAAAAATCGCGTTGATTCATTTGGAGCCATGTCTGAGTCCACTAGATCCATTCAGAGGTGTATCCAGCTCTGAGAGCTTCTCCAGAAAATATACCTTGATGATGAAGGCTTTCAGCAGTGCTTCCGATTGAGCTGAGTTTAATTCGATGACCTGTAGTCTGGTGTCGGCAAGAAGATTTGCCCCCCCGGCACCAACAATAGGCGCTACGTCATAACCATGCCCCTACAAGAGCAAACTCCTAATTGCAAGAATATCCGTTGAAGTTAAGATTTTGCAACTTGAGCGATTTAAGCAAGTCAATCACGAAAAATGCTCAACTTGCATCAAAGTCATTCGCGCGAATCACCTCATTCGAATGCATCATGCCCCAGGATGTCTATTCACGTCTTTGCATTGACTTAACATATAAATTACTCACGCTTGATGCTTCATTCACGTCTGGTGTGAACGCAGCATCACACTGCATGACTTACTTGGTAGCATTGAGTTGCTGCGGTGTATATATCCTGCAACATGGATCGGCTACAGGGGTTTTTCGCACTGCATGACTTTACAATAGGAACAATCGACAACAATTTTGTCTCGGCCCGCAAACTATGTCTCATATTTTATTTTTAATCAGAACCCATTTCACATGGAATGATTTGAATCGCTGACAGCTCCGGGTATTAAGCATGCAATATATCTGAAGGGTGTCTGTGACTTATTGGCAGTTCTTTGAGATTGCATCTTTGATAGTTCACATTGTGTGATTGTTACTCACATAAACGAGCACTAATTTGTCTGTGATTTTAGGCATTTGTTTGCGATTACTTAAAACCTGACGGTGAGTCAAAAGTCGGGGCTAAAATCATGCATTCTGAACTCGGCATAAGAGGGAAAAAGTAAGGGACGAATGGAGTCTTAATATTCTGACATGGCCTTTCGCATGGCCAGCACGCATCTTTGAGTATCTTTGGCCAAAGTCAAATGCGTAACCTCAGGGTTATGAGGTTACATACGTCATATGCACAAATGTACAGAGCGAGTAAAATAAAAAACGGGATATTAAAGCACATTAACCAGTATTGTTCTTCCAAATGTACGCTAGTTGGCCAGTGCCTTGGGAATGACTTTTGAGATCTGTGAGCTTGGCGCAGATTTTGTAATATACTACATTGTAATGTTCTATAATGATCCATTTGTATAATTGCCATAAATGTGGTATCGCTGAATGTTCTTTATAAGTTGAAGGTGTTATGAAAGAATAAAGCATTTCCATCTTATGTATTCCACTAGTGCTTTTGATGATTACTTCTTCACACAGTACTTCTGACATGTAACTAAGACATGGATTTGCAACACAATCGAACGGTCATGTTTGTAAGTTGCAAGATGTTAGCATCCACAGGTTTGTAGGCGATGTGTAATCCTCATAAAGGCATGTCTATCATTTTGTTGTGCAACTAATCAAGTGTCTGAATTAGTCAAGGATGGACATTACTTTTAAAATATTTCCATATTTAGGCTTAATAGTATGACACTTATCTGCACTTATGCTTAATGCGTATAAAGTCATTTCGAATAAACTAATATTTGACAATATTTCCGAGCTTGCTTATATTAAGCTTTATTTACCATAACATTATGCATTCTACCTTTTGTTTGATAATAAAATTTTAAAAATGTTTAAAGTACTTATCAAAGAGCATCTGTACACAATTATGAAATAAAAACAAAAGCAGGCTGCCTTATCCAGAACCAACGCCATCTCACAACAATTCGTAACTTTGATTTAGAGGCTAATTTGTATGAATTCATACAATCTCAATCATACAATTTAGTACGATTTGCCCATCCCCCAATGATGACTGGGTTCTGGGGTGGGGTTTAGTGCCAAGCCTCATTTTTCTAAATCGTATATTTTCATAAGACTACACTCATACAAATTAGTACGAATTAACTACTAATGTTAACGAATGTTTTTGCAGCATAAAGCCTGTCTTATCCGCTTGTTAAGTCGTGACGTATCGGTGACGTTTGTAAAACTGTTTCCGGGTCCAAGCCACTACTCATTTAAATTGAGAAAATATTCGTTTTTGACCACTTCTTAGTCCTATCACACTTTGAAATCATGGTGTACACAACAGTCTCTGGACTTACTGCATCACAAACCCCAAAATTTTACCAATTTCTAAAAAATTCATCACTTTCTAGACCATCGAATACTAGGCAATCAGGATTTTCAAAAGTATTACATCGCTTTGTAAATGTTTATTACTACCATTTGATGAGTCTCCCCATTCAGTCTGATAGAGCACGCGAAACGGCTTCCAGGTCCAAGCGATGTCACACTTAACAAGCGGATACAACGCCACTCCATAACTGGTGCCGTCTTGTGACTAAGGGTTAGTGTATGCTTCATTAGGTCCATTCAGCCGCTGTGTCAGGCTGTCGATAAGCCTGTCTGGCTTTATTCAGTTTATACATTTTTAACTTCTTTCTAGGGACAACGGATGAAAAATGGCCTTTTGGCTAATTCTAGTGCATTAATGTACACTGTTCCTGCCAAACAAACAAATAATAAAATAAACTGTGCTCAAAACCACCTAGATGTACTTTATCCCTTACTTATACTAGGCCCACACCGAATTTGCATGCACAGATTTCTACCCCTCATTGAGTCTACTAAATTTTGTAAATGTATATTTATTAATTTAAAAAAATTAATTAATAATATTATTGACTAATATGAAAATGTTCATATTATTTATTTGCAATACATTTTTGTAAAGTAATATTCCTTATAATCCTTTTTTAGATATAGTTTATGAGAGACTTGCTTTGTTACCAAATAGGTGGATCTAATTGGATTTGCATTGTAAACATTAAATAAAAAGCTAAAAAAAAAAGTATTATTTTTTATTTTATATGTTAAGTTTTTGTTGTGATACTCCCATAATCATTCTGCATACATTTTTTCAAAATTCTGTCTGATTCTACTTATACCACAAGGTGGTTGAATGATTCTTATTGGCTATTGAACATTCTAAATGGCTTATGGAAATGCAGAGATAAATTAGTTCCAGACCATATTACAGTTTCATTTCACTACGCCAAATGATTTTACAGCGTACAACAGTCAAAAACCACATAAAAAAAAATAACAAAAGGCTTTGGATGAGATGCATAAGAAAGTTGTTTTTGTCAAGATTTTAAATTCAGCATGAACGAGATGTTTATTACGGAATATAATATAATAATAAGAGACAGGGTTTTCTTATGGCGCTTCTTTTCTCATCTTTTCACTCACAGCAAACGCTTGGAGAGCCTAAACATTTGGTTCAAACCATCCACCTGATGTCCTCAGAGAAGGACAGCCAATCCAGAGTAGAAGCAAACGGTCAGATTTGGATTAAAAAATTACCAACTGCTTTTTTTTTTTTTTTTTAACTGATTAATTGTGATTAAAAAATATGCTCTTGTAAAAAAAAATACAAAAAAAAACATTGAAAATCTTCATTTCACACAGATTTTAACTTCTGAAACATGTTTTTATAGTAAAGTGACATTTCATATATCAAAAGAGTAATCGAATTTTGACTTCTCAATTGACAATGCCTTCAAAACAGTATTAAATGTACAGAGCGAGTAAACTCTATTAAAAACTACTAACTCTACTAAAAACTATTAACTGCTCAGCACCAAGCCCAAATCTACCCATTTTATCAATTTCATTGTTTCTAAAGCAAGTTCCAGTTAGGTAATATGCAAATAGCTGTATTCTTTACATCAACTATACATTTATAGCAGTTTTGTAAAGCTTAAATGCAAACTGGCTTGTAGGTAAATAGTTGAGCAATTTCAAACATGTATTCATTTAATGTACTGTGCAAAAGCAAAGAAAAAGGATCCAAAGTTCAGCCTACGTAGACTGCTGTGTCACTTACTGCGTGAAGAGCAGAAAAAATGATCTAAGTATTAAAAAATGTGTCCCTGCAATGGCCTAATGGGCTTCCGCATTACATAATGAATAATTTTCCTCGTTAGTGCAGGAACATCTATAAATGTCTGACGAAAGACCATGAAGTGACGGTAGAGAGGAAAAGGACTAGCAAGTGTGTTTCGAGATGAACCGCACCCAGTCAGACCAAAGCTTATGAGGATTATACTTATTACAGTATGGCACAAATATGTCAGTGATCTCAGTGAAAATCCTTTGCTTAAACACACACATACACAAAGAGGGGGACTTTGGAGAAATGGATGTTCTTTTTATCTGTCTTTAAAAGCATATATGACTCCGCAAGGAACAGAACAAAGAAATATAGTCTGAAAAGTGGGTGTAGTTGTTTTGATATTATGCTAGATGGTGTTTTTTCTGGATTATCTATGCTCGTACTGCAAGTCAGGCCTGGATTGGAAACGGAACAGTACAGCTTGTGGGGGGAAAAATATGCTCATTTTCCTCTGGCAACGCTCGCATTCCAGGATTTGAAACACGCCACATTGTCTGGACTGTGGATACGATGTGAAGAGAGTGTCCAAGGGTTATTGGGAGGATCACATGCGTTTCCTTCACCACAACAGATCTCAATCGCTCAGGAATTAACTCAGCAACGTCCACATGTCTCTTTGTAAATGGATGTGAACATTATTTATTCATTTAGACAGAATGTGTGTATTCACATTAAGCTGTACCAATTTTTTCTGCCATTTGATCATCATACAATGTGGTCAACTACGTTCTTATTGGGTTCTGTTAAAGAACGGTGGAGTCTATAAAATTTGATATCTTTTCCGTTCGATCAGATTATTAGCACCAGTATTTGTGCTCTGCTACTGATACTTAAATGTATTTGCAGACTGTCTTTCAACTGTGTTTGCAAATTGAAATAATATTTAACAGAAAAATAAATACCAGAAAAAACTGAGAATTTGTGTTAATATTATTCTCATTTTTAACTTTCCAAATATTAAAAAACAATTCTGATTAAATATTGCAGTAAGTTAATATCTTTACAGTCACTTCGTTTTAGCAGTAAGAAGCTACTATACAGAATACTGAGCTGAAGCTTGACTACAAAATAAAAAAAAAAATAAAAAAAATCACAAATCAATACGAAATATCTTTAAAAAAAAAAATTTGATATTAGATATTTTCCCCAAAATCGCACAGCCCTAATAAATAAATAAATAAATAAATAAATTAAAAAAAAAAAAAAAAATATATATATATATATATATATATATATATATATATATATATATATATATATATATATATATATATATATATATATATATATATTTTTTTTTTTTTTTTTTTTTTGGCTTGGATTATTATTATAACAACAACACAAGGATGTCAAATGTTAGAATATATGGAGGTGTTATTAATAGAATTTTTTTTTTTTGACCAATTGTTTTTTTTTCAAATTGTTTTTATATTTTAATTCAATTCAATGTTTTATTTTAATTTTTTATTTTGCTGAGAACATCTAATGGGAAAAAATGTATTGTCATATCACAGACTAGATCTTTTACATTTAATAATTACTGCAGTACAGGTTTATGTTATTTATATGATTATTAATTCACAAGATGGTTATTGTATAATAATAGTAATAATAATAATAATAATAATAATAATAATAATAAACAACGAAATTCAAACAACTAAGAAAAACATTCTTACATAAAATATGGAAAGCACTTATATGCAAATTTTCTAAAGTTTTAATGAGGAGTTGTGATATTTTGATCTTTAAAAAAATAGTTTTTATATATTTTGTGTAAATATATGACTGCTTTTTTGTTCTCCAAAAGGGGGCGCTAATGCATGAACAACGGATCTGTATTTGTTGCATTTTTTATCTGCCAATACGTTCTCTTTTTTTGTAGGTTAATATCAGAAAATGACATTTATGACAATGGATTTACTCAGTTTACATTTCAATGACATTAGCATTAACAATGACAGAAAATGAGCAATTAGCCATCATACTGTTATGAGTTTATTTCTCCAGTCCAAAATATTTAATTAAGACACTTAAATATCTTACAAGAACTGTCAAACGTTTTAACATTCACACATGATTGGTTTCAAACATCATTTGGTCAATATTAACATGTAATACTACCTTTAGTAGAAAAGTTCATTTGTTCATAAGATCTGTGCAACAAAGTAAATAATATCGATAATAGCTGATGAATGTGGATGAGGTCCAAACAACACTGGTCCCTGTTGAATTTAGTTTTATGAAACGCATTTCATGTGCAGCATTTATCACAT